AATTTGTAATATTTCTAAGCAGTGTTTAATTGGAATGTGCTCTTCTTTTGTCCACCGATCCTGGGTGTTTGTCCTAGAATGATTTGCTTTTTCGTATAATTACTGCTTTTTTTTGGTCTACAGCGGGTTAGATCTTATGCGGTGATAAATTTAGAAGAAAAACGATCATCAGGGAACAATGGGTTCCTTATCAAGTCAAATTAATGTGAATTTGTTACAATGTAAAGTTAAATATTATTTTGTCAGTCGAATACTATTTCAAAAGTGAAATGAATGGGTTTAAACAATTTTTGATGTATCAAGTAGTTTATGTTTATATGGCTTATTAAATGATTCTTCTTAATCTTGGATTAGTAATCATTGTAGGCTGTTGGTGATGGCCGTTCTTTAACACAAATCCTGAAAACGGTAGCAGGTGATGCAGTTGGCCAGAATAATGCATATAAGCATGTTGTTGATTTGATTCAACAGATAACTCGAGCCCATAAAGAATTACATTCTCAATGGCAAGCCAAAAAACTACGTTTACATTCCAGACTTGCACTGATTGCTTTTGAAACCGATACTCACAGAGTTGGTTTCCTTTATTTTTGCAAATATTTCCGAAGGTAATTTAAAAACTTCATCCAATACAAACGTCTTACGCTTCAGTTTAACTGATAAATGGGTGACTGCTTAATCGAAGTTTCCCAAAAAGTTGCTACGTTCAGCTCATCATTTGAATACGCATTGAAGTGAATGTTTGTGAGGAAATACTGAAAACTGATTTGTATGAAGTATGCGATGTTGTGGTTCCATTAGTGCCTTTAATCTCGGTTATTTGACTCAGCTGTTTCGGGAAGTTTAATACTTTTCCAAGTTTCTTGCTTTTTTTTTCAACATTTTGTTAATTAATAATGATAGGAATATAACCGTTACTTTTTGAAGCAGTAGTAGAAATAAAGTATCTAATACCGAATGTATAAGAAATACATGTGTGGGAACATATGCAAACTATTAAGACATTTTTCTTCGTTGTTTTAGGTTCTTCAGTGGTTGGAAGAACATGGTGATGCATACCTGAATAAAAATACTGCTATTGGTAATAATTTATCGCAAGCGAAAATTTTACAAAGGAATCATAGTCATTTCCGGTCAGTAGCCTCTAATACTTACTCAAATGCGGAAAAATTATTTACCGCATCTAATACTATCATTGAATCTGGTAAGTTTTATTCATTTTTGTTATATTTTGCCTCATATTCTTTTGCATATCTAGTTTATAAAGTTTTCTACCTTCACTCAGTGTTTCTGACGGTAGTTCCAACTTTTGTTCATCCCATCCTATCTGTAGCTAGCCATTGCTACGAGTGACCTTATGACCGAACAATTTTGTTTAAGAATAATTTGATTTAAAAATTCTGAATTCTGAAGACTGTATGTGTTAAAAAAAAAGTGCTCATAATTTCAGGTGAATGTGATGTACAACAAATGAGTGTTGTAGTGGAAGAGTTGAGGAGGCGAATTGAAGCTTTCTCCTCAAGAGTTAGATTTCTTTTTCTTTTTTCTTCGGAAGATACCGAAAAATATCTTTCTTAGAAATCCATACCTATGATATTATAAATGAAGCAAAGTTACTTCCAGGTCGAAGCACGGAGAGATTTGCTGAATAAATCTGTTTTGTTCCACACACATTACAGTGAAATAATGGAATGGTATGGGCGAATGGAGGTGAAGAGTACCCAGTATGACTTTGTTTCGACAAATGTTCAAGAGGGCGAACGCCGTAAAGAAGAGTGGATGATTGAAAGCGATGCCACGGCGCAGGTTTTTTATTTATGCTAAATACTACATCCATGTTTCTTTAATGGAAACCAAAATTTCAAAGTTCTTGGTTTAAAATTGAAGATGTATCCTGGCTAGGATCCACGAAACTTTTAAGACTTCGATTTTTATTCAGTTTCATTTTCTTTTTTTCAGTAGTATTTGAGTTCCCTTCCCTGACTTTGTCGTTTGAATACTTTATCATTCGTTGTTGAACTCTAGGCTTTAATGCATTTCTACATAATTACTTCTCACTAATAAAATACGTAGATTTGAACATCCATAAATTGATCTTTTTACATTTAATTAAATGTTTAAGAAGTATTTATTTCTGAAAATAACTCCTGTATTTCAAACATTTCATTTTTCTACAAATTTAATTTGATTTGAATTTAGGCGTATGCAACCACAATGGGTGAAGGAAATCAACTGATTAGGGCGTTGGAGCAACAAGCTAAGATAATGAACATTGATAATCGTGATGCTGTTGCTATAGTCGAGCGTTTAATCAGTGATATTGGTGAGTAGCTTGTTTACGACTCATTTCTAGTTACTGGTAATCCTGCTTTTTTTCGAATTGTTTAGTTAAAGAAAAATTTTCTTATATTCAAAATTGCTAATTTCCAGAGAAGCGACATGCGAAGCTAGCTGATCGTTGGCCACATCAAAGAAGATCTCTTCAACTTGGTGTGAAATTTGCAGCTTTTATTAAGGATTGCAAACAGATTATTCAACAACTTAAGGTATGAACAAATTTATATAATAACAGGTTAGTGACCTGGAGTAGTTTCAGATACTGTATCTGGTATTTCATACGGTCTTCAAGTCCATTTTATTGTCCTTGCACACATTCTCTCATCATCTCAACCCAAATTCTTTAAAAAATAGAGCGAATGCATTTCAACGCAATGGTGAATGATGAATTCATTTAATTTTCACACAAGCCTAGAAGCTGGTTTATATCGAGATGGGTGGCGATTAAATATCAACGTTTACCATACGAAATTTATTAGGCCATGCAATCATTTGGAGCTCTTTCTCTACCTAAATATTTGCAGAACTGGCGAGAGGATATGGTGGCCTTGGTGAAATCTAATAATTTTGCCGAGCGTGCGGAACATATTCTACCGTACCAAAATGATAATACTACCCAGGTCAAAAATGCCGTCACTGGAGTTAAAAATAATGCTGCTGAGCTATTACAGGTAGCTTTTTGCAATCATGAAGTTTTTTTTGTAATAAATGGAAATTATGGAAATTCCTTTATATAGATAAGAAAAATAAGTTGGTCATTCGGTTCAGTTTATTTTTCTTATACTTATAGAATCTGAGAATTCCAAGTAAACTTATAAAGATTTCAGCTGCAACGTATTTTCAGCACTTTTAAATTATGTCAATTTTTGATATTTTATTACTTAATTCATATCTTAACACGATATTTTGATAATAAAAGTATATTTGAAGTACATTATGTTCTTCTTTGTCGATATTTATAAAAAAAGGCAAAGTTACGACTCTATTTTGTGGAAACTCTTAAATTAACGTTTGGTTTTTCAAATTTGAAGCTCAATATCAAATTTTTCCGACGATTTCCACGAAAAATTTTTGAAGACTTTCACTCTTTAGTAACACTACCCATATTAGTTTGCCATAACTAGTTATGCTATGAAAATTTCTCATTCTGCTATTCTTATATCTTTCCATATTAGTTTTATATTATTCATCTTCATTGCTGATTATAGTATTGCATCATGGAATTATCCACTCCATTCAAATTTTGATAATAGCCATGTTTTTGCTAAGTTCTTGCATACTTCTCAGATTGGTCGATTTAGTGCCCATTTATTATTTGAATGACAAAAAACAAAAAAAAATTATCGAGAACAACCACCAATTAAGATAAAATAAATTGCTTTGCTTTCCAAGATGAAGCAAGTGGAACGTTCATCACTTATACGAAAGTACACTTCTTAAACTTTCTGGTTACACTGGTCCGTTACCTTTCATAATCGCCTACTTTTCCTGGTTTACTGACAGAGATCCATGACATATGCGTGATCGTTCGCAAATCCAATGACATGTTTTGCTCAATCTTAGAAACTAATAAATTCTGAATCTTCTCATTTGGTCTAAATCGTTTTGTATTTTTCATTTATATGCAGATTCTCACAAACTTATCAATTTTTTGCTATTAAAATTAAATTGCATAAGAAAGAATAGTGGACAGTCACTCTAATCCAGTGGTTTTTCGCTTATGAAGCTCGATTGTTTGTTATATATTCGGTGTGAACATCTAGCCATGAATAATTCTTTTTCAGTTTCTTAAGCTTTGCTGCAATAGCTTGATTGTTCACCATCTTTTATCACTGTACTTTAATATTTTGTATCCCAGATTTTTTAAAAAAAAAATCTTATGAAAAATAAATATTTGTCAAATTTTTTTAAATGTTCGGGAATCATCTCTTTTTGTAGGTAATGAAAAGGAAAGGAGGATGCAGAGCTGAGGAGAGTAGAAAAGCTATTTTGGAATTAGTGATTCTTATCTATGGTCAATGTTTCATGCTTGAATTAACCAAGAAAAAAATAGCCATAAAAGCGATAGCTGACATTACTTAAATGTATTGATTAAAATTTTTACACATTGTTTTTTGAATGCATGAATTTATTTTAATAAATTTTAAAGGCTCTTCGAGACAATGAATCTACACTTGTTAATACGGAGGGTATTCTGGCCACCGATGTGATTATTACCAGCTTACAACAACTGACTGACTGTCAACATGAAGTAATGCAGGTTAGTTATTTGTTAATAAGATACTTTATTAGTAACGTGCAAAAGACCTATTACAATCGTCAAGAAAATTTTTCGTAAAATTTCTACACATGGTATTTTGAACGAAAGTTATTTGCTATAACTCGTGGAGTTTTGAGGATATTTAATTTTGTCAAATTTGAAATGTTCTCACTGAACCAAATATAGTACTCTTTTTTTTTATCACTGGCGTTTTTATTTTTGTTCCGGTTTCACAAGATTTCTGAGTTGAAAAATGTTAAGCCACCAAGTAAACTAATGAAATTTTGTTCAAATATATATAGCATGACAATTAATGTCATGTTTTAGGTGAACACATATGGTCCGCTTGACTGTTTTCAGATGCCTCATAATAATAGTGAACAAGAGAGCAAATTTTGAGTGTGTTAAAATATAGCTGATTTTATTTTTGATTTGTCTCAGGTAGCGCAAGAAACACATCATCGAATTGAGCAATGCATGCAGTTCAATCGTGCGCGTGCAATGGCAGCAGTTGCAATGCAAAAAATGCAATACGAAGAAACAAAATTGCTTCATATGAATACAATTCCAACTTCGTTGGAAGAAGCTTTAGCTGCTCAAGCTGCTCACAAACAATTCCAACACGCTATCGAGGTAAATTATTGGATAGAAATGGAACCAATTTCTTTAACTTTTTTTGCAATTTGTAATTGTTACTCTTTTTTCAAACAACAAAGACCCTTTCTCATTTCGTTTCTTTTTGGTTTTATAAAACTTTTCTCATAAAGAGGTAGAAACTCCTCGACTAACCTATTGAAATTTTCCCCAATTATGGAATAAAATTTTAATGAAGTGAGTGAACCTTTTTCTCCGGTTGAATTCATCTTTTTAAGTTTTTTTGCTTTATTTGAGACATACTCTTGTTTGGTAATTCATTTGATCATTCTGCATCACTTTGCCGCGCATTAGTTTTTTGACTGATTTCACATTTTAATAGACGGGAACTAAATTTTCATTTTTTCTTATTCTTTTTGTCAGGTTGGCTTATTTTGTTATGGGTATTTATCTTGAACTTTGAAATTATATTACTTATAACGGTTTAGCTCAAAAATTTATATTTGTCTTAAATTTCAAATTTTCGAAGTTATTGAGCGATAATCATTTTGTTTGCATAACGCTTTATCGGCAATGCTACTAATAAGTTAGGATGTTATCATATATTCATTTTTTTTGGATTCAAAATTTGAATTTTCGTTGCGGATGTGCGCTAATTATACATAAAGAGTAATGGGCTGGAATTCTCTTTCCTTATTTGTTGCGTTTTCTCTCTTTAAAAAATGTGTGCTAACTGCAGTTTTCACTGATGAAATAAGTGGGTTTTGAACGACTGGTGTATAAAATTTGTTAGGTCTTTAAGTTTCGAAATTAGTCAGTCCGCAAAACTCTTTTCCGTTGAATTTCGAAAATTTTATGTTGCACATATAGTGAAAATTTTGTTTTAGAATCAGTCTTCAAAATTCAGCACGTCGTTTATTAATAGAGAATTCAAAAATGAGATTTGAAAAAAAAGAAGCAAGTAATTAAATGTTTGGATCTCGCAAAAGGAATACGAAGCTTTTTTGCGAGAATTTTTCTTAATTTATTGGAAGTTTTTTTAAGAATCTTAATGATGTTGTAACTTTAAGAGCATCAGTCGTACAACAAGTGCATTTTTGAATAAAACCGATCATCTGATTAGCAGCGGTGGTGTTGATGTCCGTTCTGTGGATGATTTGAATGAAGAAGTATTAAATCGCTGGAGACGATTAGTTGGTGTTACGGAAGAAAGGAATAAATTAATTAAAGCCGGTGTTGTGTGCTACAAAACGCTGCATCAGGGAGTAAGTTTTTCTTGATATTTTATTTTATGAAATCCTTGTAAGATTTTTTAAATTCATACATGGGGAGCAAAGAATTTTCTGCCGGCATTAATAATACGACAGATGCCGTTAAAAACTAGTTATAAGAATAATGGAGAATAACTTTACATAGCCTATTAGTCAGTATTATTCCACATAGTTATTGCTGACCGTGCGGTTAAGTGAAAAAAAATTAATTTCATTCGGTGCGATTTTTGGAGTGTTTCAAGCGCTTCAATTGAACCAAGAAAATCTACAGTAATTCTTTCAAGTATGTGTCATTGAATAACAAATAGATCATAAAAATGGAAGCCTGAAATATTCTAGTGATATCTGCGTAATAGATATATATTAGGAGTTCACATAGAGAATAATTGGTTTCTACAGTAATCTCTTTATAGGTCATGCCAATTTTGGACCAACTTGAGAAAGAATACAGTATGAGTTCGAAAGATTGGTGCCAAATTAGAAATGGAGAAGATGCTAAAGATCGAGCTCATCATATGTCAAGCTTGTTATCGAAACATATGGAATATAAGGAGAGATTTCTGAAGGTTCATATTTTGTTTTGATTCAGTTGATATAGTTTGGCGGTGTAAGTCACGTCATACACTTGATGTTAACAGGTTTTTTTCGACACTTATTAAGTTGTACGTAAGCAGGAAATCAGCCGTAATTAACAAAATGAACTGCAGTATTCAAAAAATAATGAAAATATTAAAATTATAGGGTTGCTCATACGGACAGAAAACATCAGAGATGTTCCTGAAATATATTCGACGTTGTGAGGCATCAACAGAACATATAAGATTGCATGAAACACGCCTCATGGCTCTCAAGGAAAACCTACGTAAGCGACAGATGAAAATTCTGGATTTGTGGATGCGAAAAAAGCAGCAGCTTGATCGATGTCATGAAGCATGCCTTCTTGAAGCCACAGCAATTGAGGTTATACTTTCGTCAAGGATAATGGTTTCGGACAGTTTCTGTTTCAAAGTTTTAGATTTCATAAATTTGAAATTAAAATTGAATTGTGCTTGTAGTAGCAACTATTTTTTTGCAGAACGCTGAGTGGATAGCTGTTGAAGGCGAAGCATTTTTAAAGCAGTGTTTGGAAAGGCGATTAAACGTGGCAGATCGAGGAAGTCTGGAAGCATACATGGATGAATACATGACTTTCAAAGCTGAAGCAAAGGTTTTTCTTAGCTGTTTAAACCGAAAAATAATAAACATCGTCTTATTTCCTTATTATTTTACTAATTTATTTACTGGGTATTTGGTTATATGCATGTAGTGAAACAAATATGTTATTGACTATATCATAATATATAAATAAATAATATATCAACGTAGACGAAATAAAGATATGATTCTAGAATTGATAAAATGATGTTGCGTAAGTTGATATTCGAAGCTCTTGATTGATAATAGACTGATAGAACTAGGTAGTAAAGACTAATTTGAGAGTTCATGTCTTTTTTCTCTTTCTTCCTTCAGCAGAAAAGATTGAAAGTTCGAATGATGCTTGAACTAGCTGAAAAGTTTCTGTCCGTGGTAGATCATCACTGTAATGCAATTGAACGAAAGATGTTTGATGTACGGTCAAGCTATGAACATTTTTTCATGCATCTTGCTGACTACGAGAATTTATTGTATGGAGCACTGGGACAAAAGTTGGATGTGAACAGAGCGGTTCGTTAATCAAAATACATAGAGTCTTTTAATTTTATCCTTCTTTTGTAAAATTTAAGTATTTTCTATGATTGTATGATAGAAGGTGGAATATAACAGATGAATCATATCAGCGAAATCATGATTACAGAAAGATGAATTTTCTTTGGATAGAAAAAGTGATTCGAATATTGAAGCAAAAATTGAGGTGGAACGGCTAGCTAATGAAGAAAAACGTAAGATGAGGTGAGTTAAAAATTTTGTTTAATTGAAGGACAGCTGTAAATTCATTATCATTAATATGTTTATTTATATGTCAAAACTTTTTCTGATATTTTACACAAGTCTAAATGTCTTTTTTAATTTTATGTATTTTCGATATAAGTTTTGGAATTGTGCGAATTTTAATGATTATCCTGAATTATCGTTCTTAATATTGCTTATTTATTATTTTAGAGAACCAATGATGGAGTTAATTAAATCCGAAAAGGATTATATTGAAGATTTGCATAAATGTATTAAGCATTACCTGAGTGCGTTTCGTGCTGCAAAAGACTCATTACCTGCAGCACTTCGAGATAAAGAAAAAGAAATCTTCAGCAATATTGAACAGCTCTATAAATTTCATAATGAGTAAGTTAATGTTTTCAGCATTCCAATAAATAAAAGTTACTTTCTCCAATTGGGAGAGCTAAATAGTCATTAGTTCGTACTCATTACTACTGCTTTAGTAAATTTCCTTATCCAATAATACCCAGAGTACAGAAAAGACGCTCTAGACTATCAATTTAAAAATGTTTCTGAGCATAGAAAAATATATGCGATACTCGTCTCATTAGACAAAAAAGTGATTCATTCATTAATTTGGACTGAAATTATATTATTTGGTATGGAACAGGGAGTACGGTTTGCATCATGTTGAATTTGTGAAAAAATATCTTTATTCCGTCTTATTTACACAATCCTTCACAGACGGTTTTTTTACGCAACGGATTGTAAAAGCCAGCCAAGCCCGGAAAAATTTATTAAATTTAAAATCGATTGGGGTATTTGTCGAAGAAATACCGCATTTCTAATTATTTTTCTTATGAACTTTCCAGAATCAATATTTTTTTTCAAAATCGATATTTTTAGAGTATTCTTACCAGAATTGATCAAACATGAAAACGACCCGGAAGATGTGGGATATTGTTTCATATTTTCCGTTGAAATGCTTAATACTTTATATACGGAATATTGTGTTAACAAAGAACAAAATAATTATATTATTGCATTACCGGAAGCTATGCAATTCTTTTCGGTTAGTGTAATTTTCAGCATTTTCTAAAAAATAATATATATTTTTGTCTAAAAAATATATTTATTTTCTAAAAAATAATATATATTTATATATTTTTGTTTGCTTAATGTGTCAATGATATCAATTTCACTGAAATCCTAAAGTTCATCGTATATGGGTAGTATTACTGAAACGACTAGATGAATCATTGGTTAATGAAAAAAGAGTAATCATGTAAGACAGTTACTATCTGTAGATATGTTTCACTGGAATAAATGAAACTCATTTGTTTCTTAAATTTCATGAAACACTAACATTCCAGTATGTAGAAGCTGATTCACTTTTCTTCATTGCTGAAGATTAGAATGAGAATTAGAATTGTGGTGACAAAAAGTGAAGTAAATTCCGTATTTCAAATAACTGTTTTTCTTTCACTCAGAATTTGAATATTTTCTCTTACTTTTTTTTCAGGAAATTCGTGAAAGAAACGGTTTAGAACACAGCCAGGATCTGTCATCTTTGGTAATCAAGCCTGTTCAACGAATAACACGATATCGTTTAATGCTCGAACAGCTGCTCAAAAATTGCAGGAACAACGTTGATGAAATCCGGGTACGTTTCTTGAATTTTGAATATTCAGTTTTTGAATTACGACGAAGTTTAGGGTAATCGTGAACTCTAGTTCATGCTTATCTCAATAATTGACAGACATTGTGGTAATGGTTTGCTTTGCAAGTATTTTAATCTGCATTATCAAGGACTCGATAAATTTCAATTGTATATTTGTAATATCAGATGTTTTTTCTCCAGTATTTTGAATGAAGTGTATATTTTTATTTATAAATGGTGCAGGAGGCTTACGATGTGGTTGTTAGCGTACCGCGACGGGCTAATGATCTTATGCATCTTGGTAATTTTGAAAATTATAAAGTAAGTTTTTTTGTTTAAGAACTATGCTGTATAAATTGTTGGATCAAGTTATCATGTACGCTGTCTGTCTTAGGTACTAATTAGATTGGATGAAGTATAAGGAAATCAGAGAATATCATTATTTTTTTACGAGGGTTAACTGTGTTTTTGTTCCAGCTTGTTAATTTTCATATTTTTAAGACATATGCAACATACACAGACTTTTAGAATGTTTTCTGTCTTACGCAAATCGCTTTCATGCAGCTTTTTAAAAAATATGTTTTCAGAAACTTGGTGTCCTTGGTGATTTTGTGATGCAAGAATCATTTCTGGTTTGGGATCCGAAAGCGTATTTTAAGAAAGGCCGGGAAAGGCAAGTCTTCCTGTTTGAACTCTGCGTTGTGTTCGCAAAAAAAACGGAATTATCAAGTCGAGCAATCAAATATATCTACAAAGCTCATCTAATGGCAGGTTTTCATATTTGGAAAAAGAACAGATCAGAAACTTCATATAGAAGATACAGAGAAAGGAAGTAGGATGGGAAGAAGTGATAATATTCCGAGTGGTAGAGGACTTCATTTTCGAAAGATACTGAAATTTCATGCCATTTTAATCTTTATTTCTTTCACGATATTAACCAAAACTTGAATCGACTTGTTGGGCTACATTGTTTAATGTTGCCTCTTGCTACAATACTGGTAATAACTGCTAATAACGGAGAACACATAAAAGTTTTTGAATAATGAATAGTATCGTTATAGTTAACTGTAATTTGTGAAATATGTTCGAAAGTGGTTCTGGGAATGCTTAGTCAAACATTTTTTAAAATTATTTTTACGATTTCAGTTGGCTGAGATCAATGTTTGTGAGCACGTGGAAGGTGATTCCAGCAAATTTGCATTGCGTCAGGGAAATGAGCCAAATACAGAAATGCGCACGGAGCTAAAAGCAGCTAATGAGCAATGCAAAGTGCATTGGGTAAAGAAAATTCGAGAGTTGATGCAAGGACTGATGACTGCTAATTTCGGTATTAATGTCATAATCATTTGAGGAAGAATTTTTTTTTAATCTCCAAGTTAAACAATCGATCTGGATTTTCTATAGAATTAGAATTAATCAAAATCAAAAGATTTTCATCTTTAATCATGGTAATCTTTCAGATATGAGACAAATACCTGCTCGAAATTCAAGTGCTACAACTACGACATCGGTATCAGATCGAACGTCGAAAGACAGTGATAGTTTGCCGACAAGTAATGAGGATAGAAATTCGTTGCGTAGTTGCACTTCATCGAACAGTAATCACAATCTAGAGGTCTGATTATTCTATGCATAGCTTTTGTTTTCAAATCTTATGCGCATTATTACTGAGCAGTGGTTTCGTGACGTCTGTTACACACGTAACATTACGTGTTAACCGTGATTAGCGGATTGGTAGTTATCATGCAACAATAGACGCAAAAAATATAATTACAGGTTGGTACAGGTTATTTTTTTTAATTTTTGTATCCGTTGGTATGCATTCTGCGTATTTCGCTTAAGATTATCACTGATTGCAAACTGACATGTTTGTATCCTGCCAAAGTTTAATGCTTTATTATCTATCTTAAATTTAGACGTCAAAATGATTCCTGATTTTTCTAATAATTTTCTATTTCTATATAGATGAATTCTTAATTTTCTTTTGTTTTTATTTCACTAAAATTTTTCCTTAGATTGTAAGACACAAAAGAAATTCTCTATTCAGTAATCGAAGATGTCAAACAACGAATTTAAGTTTTTTACTGCAAATTATACAAGTATCTCTTTTTCCTTATTCTGTTTTTTTTTTCAATTTTCTACCTTATAATTGATATCAGTAAGGGCATTTAAAAAAATAAGTGTTTTAGTGATAATTTTGAGGATATTTCATGGATATAGCATGAAGAGAGGAATATGAAATGGAAGATGAATAGAGTGAACCAAAGACCAGACGTGACGTGATTGAGAACTCAATTGTGGTTAGAACAGGGTTGGAGTGAGAAAGGAAAAAGATTAAGAGTTGCGGAGTGACGTTCAAGAACCTCAGATTTCAGACGCAGTTATTGCTTTTATGCTTGTTCATAGTTCACAGTTTAAATCTGGCAATTTTGTGAAATGATTGCATAAATGGGTGAGATATATGTTTGGTTAGCTTTTCATCAATCATTCGATCTGACATTGAAGCGAGTAAAAAAAGGAGTAAGTGAACGCAATATATATATATATATATATATATATATATGTATATATGTGTATATAAGCAATGACTCAAATATTGTATAGATTTGTGCAAACATTTGCTATGATAAACTTATAGGCTTACCATAATACTTCATTTCAAAAATTCAGATGTTTTACTTTTCTAATTAGTGCAGGAAAGTTAGAGTGAAAAATGAAAGACATGGAGGCTGAAATAAGGACTTTGAAACGAGGTATTTTGGTGAGCCTTACAAATTGGTTATCTTAGAGCAGCTGTTTATATGTAGAAAGTGAAGAATGGAAGAGTTTGCTAGGATCTCGATGTATGCTTATCTTATTTTCGGGATCGAAGAATAGATAGGAGGAAGAACCTGTAACGTTTATCCGTTATTTACAACTTACTAGTTGGAAATAGTTAATGGAAGAAAAAGGCAGAAGATGAAAAAGAAGAAATGATGAATTGATGAATGAATTGAATTAACAGATAGATGAAACAAAGGTATCCGAAGGAGGAAAGCCTGAGCTAGTCATGAATTAGGGTGAAAAGGGACTGGTTTTGTTCTTACTTTTTATCCTTCTCTATCCTCCACCGCTGCTTATGTTTGTTTTTTTGATAAAACAAAAGATTCTTCTTTAAAGTTCTCCTTTACTTCCTCACCTTTATTTTTCTTATTTTCTCGATATCCATTTTCAATGAAGTATGAAGGTGTAGTTTGTGACCATTAACGAAGTATAGAAGATAAAATAAGTTTCCTTAAAATTATATAGTAGTGAATCTTTTATAAAGATCACGATGTAAAATAACGGTAGGTTGGGAAGGAAAAGAAAAAGAGGAACGTAGATAAGAAAAATATATCCCATTTTTTTTAAGCTTATTTTTTAACTCTTAGATACTTCGTTGATTGTATACTTTCTATTTCATTTATATAATCAGTATCCATCCGGTCATAATCAATATTCATCCGGTCATTCATTGGCTGATTCATTCGTTCAGTTAATCTCATTAGTTTTTGATAAACAATGAGGGAATGAAAGATAGCAATAGTATGTTGTTTATTGAAATCTTAATTTATTCATCTTTTCATTCATTTCCATTCCTTTCCTTAAATTCCCATGTTATTTGCAGTATATAAAGTTTACTAAAGATTACGTATGCTTAAAAAGAGCCTTAATGAAAATTGTATATGCTTTAAAAGGGCCTTAATGAATAAAGGGAAAAAGCCTAATAAATAATAGTATTAACTAGAAGGCATTCGATAGTTGATATTATGAATGTTTTAATATGAAAAGGGAAAGAGGGGAAAAGTAATGCTTATGGGAGTTAAAAATATAGTGATATTTTCTTTCCGGGAAAGGAAACATTCGTTTTGGGGAGAAAAAAGATTGCAATGAAGGGATGGGCATTATTTAAGGAGGAAAGATAGGATAATATTGAGCTGTATATCAGCATTCCCTTAAAGGTTCATTTGGTTGAAATCAGTTTGTTGGAGCGATAAGTTAGCAAGTTTTTATCCAAAAAATGATTAGCGTGAAATTCATACCGAGAACGACAGTTGCATTATATGCATCGATAGAGACCAAATTTTGTCGCTAAATTGTTTGAAGCACTTCTTTTTAACAATGGATGTCGATTATTCATTTGACATCTTTTAACTATTTAGAATTTTAAAGTTTCTTTCCAAAAAATTCCAATTATGCATAAATATCGTGTTTTACATTTGAAATTCTATTTCGGCATATCAGTGGCAACATAAAAGTTGTAGTTTCATCTGGATGCAATTATCTACGTTCGTTTGATCGTTATTGGATGAAGCAGCAAAGATTATGAGAGAGGAATGTTAACAAGAAATCAAAATGAAACAAATGTAGATTATTCTGACTATATTGAAATATATTTGCGCTATTACTGCTAATATATAAATTTGTTATTCCTTTTAATAACATCTGATATTTTTGGCATTGATACTTAATCAACGATCATCACACATCATTTGATGTCAATTTCACAAGATAATTTACTACATAATAAACAACGTTCTTCACTAAGATATATCAGGATACGAAAATTACGATCACCATTACGATTATTTTCCTCTGTGTTGCAACATTTTTGTCATAAACGATCTTCACATCATGATCATAATATCTCATCGGTTTGTTTATTTATTTCCTCATTATGGTTTACTTTGAATTATCAAATTTTGCGATGTAGTAATTGGTTAATTTCTTCGAAATTCGGAAATTTTATTTTACTTGTAAAAATACACGCAAGATTTGATGTTTTTTTTGCTTTTGTTTTTATTTTGGAAGTGGCGTCAATATACTAACATAAAATTTATTGATATATTTAATTATATCGAAAGTAAATATTATTGATAATAGCAATAAACTATAAATATTGTAGTATGTTTTGCTAATAAACAATGCTTCAATGAAAGTTTTTCATTGAAGCATTGTTTAGTAGCACAATATATTACAATATTTTTCCAAAGTTTCTTCACATATTTTCCTAACACATTACACATAATTCATAGCAGGATTATTTGCATGGAAAATGATATGATCCTTGGTTGAGGAAAGCGCGATAAGTGTTTTTAATGAACCCATGGCATGAAAAATAAGGAAACATGATAGGTTTTTTTTAAAAATAGAAGTTTATGAGGGAAATAATAGACAGTAACAGTTATTGTTGTTAAATGAGAAAGAAAATATTGTTTATGATGATAATAAGCCATTTTATCATTGATATGAGTCTATCCTGAATATTTATTTGGAATGGAGGTTTAAATTACTAATTAAACATTTTTGCGAAATTTCCATCGGAAGAATTGTAAACAAAGGAAAAAAGAGAAGAGAGTAACAACGTGAAGGAAGGAAAGTTTTTTGGTTTTTTGTTACATATCTGGATTGCAATTGCCTTCCTAACGTTTTTAGGCATATGAATTGATGGAATAAATTTAACAATGAATTTGTCAAATGTGATTAAGTTTAAATTTGAAAGGGGATATTCTACTATTTGCCAAACACCTAAAAACATTGAAATATTAAATGAGTGGGACAGATACAGTGAGATGGCTTTTAGTGTGAAAGTAAGACATATTGAATGTTCGCTGCGATAAATTTTTGGACTTCTGTTGTTTATGTTTTATACAAATTTCAATAATACTCTGAATTTGCTTTTTGGAAATTTTTGTTCTATAACGTTTGTTTAGTTTATGCGTATCATACGATGCATCATTGATTATTAAATTTACATCGAAATAGTTATAAAATTTATTATTTCACAATCTAAGGAAAAGAGAAAGTTTTATTATCAGAAGTTATGGCTAAAAATCGTATAATTTAAGGTTAATGAAATGGATACTGTGTTTTGGGTAGTATGACATGTGTTTCAATATATTTGAGTAGTAGTAAGTTGTTTATTTTTAATGCAGAATTCGAACCCCTTTAATACTTCTTTACTCAATTGTTATTCATGAATCATTAATATTTTTCAAATATCAATAAATGATTGTTATAGGGAAATTATACTTGTATTATAATTTAGTCCTAATAACATCTCGAGTTAACTCGTAAATTAGACTATTAATTTGATTAAAATTTTTTCTGTGGTTAAATTAACAGTGGTAAAGGTGAAGATAGGAAAAAAACTGGATCAGCAATTAAATAATTGCTAGTGCTACTGAATAGTGCATTTCGAATTCTTAATTTGCAATATTTCTTATGATTTCTTTCCACCGTCTCCTCGCTTCAATTCCTTATGCAAAGTCTATCATTAGGTATTATTTTGATTAGTATTTCACATTTCCAAATAATCGTTATTCCATCTCAAATATTCCACTTCTTTGCTTAAGTAATATTCGAGGCAAGAAAAGTAGAAAAGGATTTTGCTTTTCAAACAATAATAAACATTTACGGAAATTTTGGTTGAAGTTAGTTTTCAATAACTGAAACCAACTGGGAATTTTAGAACTAAATGCAAAAATTTGAAAAGAGAAATGAGTGAGTAAAATTAATTAAATAAAAAGCAATCGAAAAAATGTTCATCTCATCATGCAAAATTTTATTATAATTAAATGAGATTTTCAAAAAATATATAAAAGAAAAGTGAGTGAGTGACTATGGCAAGATTAGTTAAAAATTTTTCAGTTAACAAGAATTGGATATTGTGAAAATTATATGAAGAATTCGAAATTTTTGAATTGTTTTTTGTTTAGCTAGATCCTTTTTGAACACTGAAATATTTTGTTGTTGGAATATTCAGTTGATGGTTTACAGATCTAGTTGACAGATCTAGCTTTAACATCCATTCGTATTGTCGACGGTGAATATATATGATCTTTGGTAGTGTTGAATTTGTTTATCCTTTTACACAAGGAAATTAATGTCTTTAAAAATTCTCTTACGAATACAAGATGGTAGGAAATTTTCGCTAAAGATGTGGAATAAATTTTGTTTAAGCCTTAGAAATAAGAATAAGGAATAGAAGGGAAAAGTAAAAAACTATGTTTTCATTAGTGTTTTTTTGCATTCGAATTAGGTTATCTTTACATCATTATCTTGTATTCTGAATTTTGATTAACTTATTGCATATATTCTATCATCGGTGAATTTCATATAGATGATAATTTTAGCATGATTATCTGAATTTTTGGGGAAAGAGAAAAATTTTTGTTCTAAAATTTAGTTTATAAAATGAATCGATAACAATTCATCGACTTCTCTTTGAATCATTCAGTCGTTATAATATCATAAATATATAACTTCTTTGTGTTTTGCTTTCTATCTATCCAAAATGCCACATATTTTAGTTAATTTAATTAAATTTATCTAACGTAATCAAAAAATTTTTATCTACTAAATGAGATGAGTTGTTATTTGCATTGATATATGACAAGAGAACTTTTTGGTTAATTGAAAATTTTATTTCCATTTTGCGACAGAATTGAAAGAACTTAAAATATTCCGATTAATTATCCAATTTGATGAAGGCTAAAATAGCAGTTTTGGTTTTGATGCTAAAATAGGCTAAATTTTGAAAAGATTTCATAAATTCATTGCTGTGTTATGAAGTAAATTAAATGTACTAATTTAAATTCATTGTTGCTCTGCTCTGGCATCGTTTTCATGATATTTGCATGAAGTAATGATACAGTTGGATCAAAAATTATCAAATAACTATGCTAGTATAGAATTTTTATAATTCAAGTGTTTTAGTTATTTTAATTAACTAAATAGTTGGACAACAAGCAGAGCAATAATGAATCGTTAACGTCAGCTAGTAAATGAAAAATATAGTGATAGGAATAGTTATTAAGTTAAATCAGGTAATTTGAAAATAATCTCTAATAAAATGTTTTCTGGTAGCTCAGATTAGTATCCTTAGCTGGAAGATTGGTGCTATAAATAGAAACATATATATATATAGATAGATAGATATAGAATTTCAGTGAATTTAAAAATGGAAAATATTTTTTTAAAATAAGTTTTTTCGTTTTGAACGGAAAAAATGCTTTGTATTCTTTTTTTGTTTCTCTTCGGTTTAAATTTATTTCATTTCGGAAATTTTTGCCGTTTTTTAAAAGTTATTGAAGTTATGCTATATAGCTGTTGTTGTTCCTTTTTTTCACCCTCTCATCTCTTTCTCTATCGTCATTTTTGCAGTTCTTATGATTATCGTTGGCATCATTTCTATTCATGATAAATATCATATTCAACAAGAGTAATGTCAAAAGGATATTTTAAGTTTAAGTGAGAAATGGCGAGTAGGAAGAATAAGATATTTTAAAATATCAATCAAACATATTCTTCTCTCTCTCCATATATATACATATATTCATGCATGTATATATATATATATACGTGTACTGTATTAAGCATTACTAGTCCTTTGATTTATTATTTTAATATGAGTCTGTTATTTTAAGTCCAACTATCATTTTTGGTTCTTAAGGTCACAGGTTGCAAAACTGTGATATTTTTTTACATCCTGCCCTCAATTTCCTTACCCATTCGTTTTTTTACTCATTATTATTATTATTATTATTGCTATTGCAACTACTGCTACTGCTAATTGCTGTTGACTTTGTTTACTACTATTGTTATAGCTTATTATAATGACTATTGCGTTCATTTGTTTGAGAGCTTCTCGAAATTATCAGCAATTTATTTCAATTGAAAACACATTTCGTATATAGCGCTTTTTATTCAACTTTTTCTCTTCGATTTCTGCTTAACTTCACTTCATTCGAATTATTATTATTCATTCGGCGATTTGAAAAAGGATGAATTTACAGAATATTGACATCTATTAATGGATTAATCTTTGATCAACTGCTAATATATATATATATATATATATGCATATGCATATGTCGATTCTTTATTACCATTATCATGATTAAATATCATTGCAATCTATCGCATATAATTGGAGGCGAATTTTCCTAATATTCATTCCCGTTTTATTATCTCTTTTGTTCCTTTTTTTGGCATTTATCCCTCTTTTTTTCGCTTATCAAATTTAAAATTAAGTTGAAAAAATCTATTGTTCAAGTTCAAGTTAAATTTGCTGCATTATTCCTTAGCCATATAAATCAAATGTTACGTTATTCGAAGTCAATATGTTCACGTACTCAATCATTATATCGGGATGCTAAGCGATGTTTTAATAAATCAGTTCGAAGTCATCAATCAAATGAAAGGGAACGGGTTTGTTTCTTTGTTCGCTTTTTTGTGGATTTCTAATTTTCTTTTTGTTTCGTAGTGATTGATATTGCCTGTTTTGGGAGTGTAATTCGTCCCTTTTTGCAAGTGAACTTTTGGATAACTTTTAGCTATACATCATCCTTTCTCAGAAAGCTTAATAAGAAATATTTCTATTTTTATCTAAAGTTTTCAATATTTCAATAAGTCAATATTTCTTATCTAAAGTTTTCATACCAAACTAAAGTGGAGGAGAGACTAGAAGGAAAATATGATAAGGGGAGAATGGGAGTTTGAAAGGAAAATTTTTGGAACTGTAGTTTCAGGAAGAGATCGAGTATGTTTTGAGTCAGATTTTGCGAAGATTTCTATTAGTTTTCTTTTCTTTTACTCACATCTTTCTCTTTATAGAAGTGTTAGCTGGAATTGAGAATAAAGAAAAATTCATTTTAAATGGTTACTGATAGAGTTACTAGCTACTTTATCTTGCATTTATTATTATACGACATAATTATTACATCCTAGTTTTTTTCCTTCAAGTTAACTTTATGATAAGGACCTTTCAATTGTTCTTATAATGTTTTCACAGGTTATGAAGATTTGTTTGATGAAGGCTTTAGTTGTACTTTTATTCATACACGGGACATTGCAAAACGAAGCACTCCTCATTTCTGCGTGATAGCGCAAATATTTGAGTTGTATTTTTTGAAATTTTTGAATTCAGGCAGCAGTTTCAAATGTTCCAAATAAATCCACCATAATTAATGTGATGTGCTACAATTTTTATAATGGTTGTTTTCCTCTTTTTTTAGCTTTGAATTTATTTTAGTAATAATGAAAAATGGCAACGGTGGTTTTGTAAGAATTTTAATTTTCTATTTTAAATTAGTTCTCATGCAGGAATTTTAAGTTTCAAAGTGCCAAATGACTGTAGAGATTCATTATCCCTGCATTTTATTGGGGGTATTTTGGTGGTTCGTTTTTAGAAAAAAACAGTGATTATGAAAATGTAAACGGATCAGTGCAATAAAATATTCGCGAATCACTGCTCAGTAAATAATAAAGCTATATAATATTATGTAGGATGGCTTAAAAAGTATTAAGAAATACGAGAAAAAAATTCACGTTGGAACAATGTGTTATTTATTTTTAGGGTCATAATGAAGGTTGTGTAGCTGTTGATGATTTCAAGGCAACCGAGAAGGGACAACTTTCCGTCACCAAGGGACAGCGACTTGAGGTTAAATTCCGTGTATGTTTGTATGGACTGCACTTCCCGGAATTCCTGGCTTTGCCTCCTGAAATCAATTGTATTTCAGAAAAAGAATTGTTTTTTATCTTTCTTGCAATAGCGTATAGAGATTTCTATTCTTTTTGCAAGAAAGTAACTTTTTTTCTGGTCATATTTTCATTTTTACCATTCTATTTAAATGCCTTACTTTCAAGTATCCGTTCCTTGTGAATTTCTTGAAATGGTTTCCTTCCACTCGAATGCTTTGGTTACTGGTTATTGAATGAGTTTTGAAATTTTTGTTTCCAAACTCATTCAGTAAGTGGTAGAGCTGACAGAACTAACAGTATATCTCTTTTTGTGTCTTATTTTTTCTTTTGTGTTTTTGTATTTTACTCCTTGAAACTCCTTGATGAATGTTTTCTGGTTTGTTTTTTCTTCCGGAAAATTTACTTTGAGTTATGCTTATTTTTTGAATTACAGGGAAGATAATAGTATTCGATCGTTATAGCTTGTTTTTTCTTTTAAGAATTTCTTTCAAAATTTTAAATTAAACTATAAACGGGTAAAAGAGTTACTCAAGAGTAGGGAAATTTTTTCGTAAAATTTTTTAAAGCTTTTGAACTAACTAATTTTTCCTATTTACTTTGATAGTTCGCCACCTCCTTTCATTTTTGTATTGTATTGTATTGATATGCAGATTTCTGTATTTATATTTTATTAATTTAAAACAAAATTTCAGGTGGTAGAATATTGCGGAGATGCTCCAGAATGGGTGCTTGTCTCGATTACTTGGGAAAATGGTGAACAACAACGTGGACTTGTTCCATGTTCGGTTATTTCATCGATAGAACCAGCAGGTTGGTTTTATTTGCATGATATTCTGAAACTTTCGATATCTTATATTCATATATTAGAACATTCCGGAAAAAAAAACGACTCAGAGTGATAAAAGTAATTTTATTTTGTTTCATTCGATAATAGTAGTTATTGAACAAGGCTCGAATAGGGTAAAATTTCAGTTGAATTGCAACTCCTGAAACCTTTTAAGGGAGGAAATTTTTTTTGAAATCATCCGTAAGTTGGATAATTTCTTACAATCATTTCAAAAATGATATTGCAAATGAAAATTTGTGGTTTTCATGAACTACTTCTGCATCTTTTGCAGTTATTTTTAAACATTTTAATTATTATCCTAACTTTTAAATATTTTTTCAATTTTTATTGGTTTCAATAAAAATGATATAGTTATGTTCCTATTCAGTTATAATTATTGAAGAAAAGAAGAGAAAAATAAGGGAGTTTAATTTTGATTAATTGCATTGAGATATAGGGATTTTTATATTCTTATCGCTTTCCTTAAAATTTTTCTTTTCCATTGTTTATTCAGATGATGCTTTAGCTTCTATCCAGCACTTTAGATGTTTGTGATATATTAGAATGCTCGATAAACTGATATTTTGTGATTAGATTTGGCTGTAACAGAGAAAGATGGAGAGCGAGAGATAATTGTCAATAATAAATTGAATTACCGCAAACAAAATGTTCTAAAGCTTTTCTTATTTTGCATATTTTTTTATTACTTTACCAATGTTTATTGATATTCACACTTCAGTCCCGATATTAATCCTTTGACAATTCAATTTCTAACGTAAAATTTATAGACATATCGTCATTTGGTAGATTTTAAATCATTTATTTCTTGTTTTAAATATCTGAAGTATGTTTCAATTCAAAAGACTAAATTTTTTTGTTAGGAAAACGAACTGCTAATTGTCTTTATTGTCTCAATGATTATATGATTAGCTAAGTTATTATGAATTGTAGAGCTTCATCATCGAATGTGCTTCCTCATTACAGGGATTTTTATGATGGACTGTAGCGATTCAAATAGATAAAGGATTAGAAATATTTTTGAAATTTATGAATCATCGGGGCCAAATTTTTCGATCTTTTTAAATTTTAATCAGATAAAAAAATTCATTTGGATTTTGAACTACAAAAAGTTGAAAGAAGAAGTTTGCTTGCTACCATTTGCCTTCTGAAATATGATTGTATTTCAATTCATTTTTTAATTAGTCAGCTGTGCCATGAAAAATTATCAGTTTTGTTCGTTCCATCATGTTTCTTCTCCTACATTCACTTCTCCTCTCTTGTTCATTTTTAACATTTCTTCCCACTCATAGAGCTTTCTTGCTTTTGATTGGACTGTTGGCTTAAATTTTCAATTTAATTCTTATTTGTTCTATATTTCAATAGATTTGAAATTCTAGCATTATACTATTTCTAGACATTTCCTAAATTATCATCATTTTCTTACTTATCTATTTAATTATCCATTTATTGTTACTTATTTCAAATCTCTTACTTCTTCCTTGTCAGTGAATAGTGTAGGAATTATAATTCTTCCACAAAGCATTCATCTCATTTTCCTTCTATTCCCCAATTTGATATACATTATTTCGATCAGTTAAACAAGAATTATCCACATGATAGAATATGTTAAAATCCATGTTATGAATTTAAAAGTATGTAAATTAGGATTTCTCCATCCTGTTATTTCATATTTCAAGACCGAGTACGTGACCATTGAATAGCACCTCAGAATCATCCTTTATTAGCTTAAGTAATGAAATGGAATGGGAATAATACATTATCAATTTCGTATTAAAATGATCATCCTGTAATTGTTGAGGACAAGAAATTATAAAATATGATTAAAAGAATTAACATTCGTTTATAAACATGAGATGAAAATGCTTGACGAAAGTTTTCTGTCATCTAAAAAATAATATAGCTTCAAGCAGAATTTGATGATATTTTGTGCTGCTACACAAGTTTTATTAGGCAAATTGTTTTGGAACATAAATAAGGACAAGAGCCTGGAAAAAAATCAATATTATGAATATTTTTTTTTAATTAACTCATTTATTTTTAATTCTTTAAATTTTTATTATTTTCAAACAGTAACAATTTCTTGAGATTCTTTAAAATTTCCGGAAATTTTAGATATATTTAATAATTTATATTCTATATTTTTAGGCTTAGTGTAAGGCATATTTTAAAAGTTGATAAGAGTATTTGGAGAGATAAAAACTTGGTTGTCAAATAAATTAGAAGAAAAATGAAAATAGTAAAAGAAGTAGTATACCACATTTTAATTACCTAACTTACATAATACCTTCTTATATACAAAATGCATCTTGTTTAGTCAGTAATTTGATCTGGTGTGGTTTTGTAGGTAGCTACCTAATAGCTCTTTGCTATATTGATTCATATATAACTTATTCCATTTTCAATGGTTAATAAACAAGTTCACGATAAATTTATAACCTACCTTTTTTTAATACCATTCTTCAGTTTGGTCTCTACTGGTCAGAATAACTATCAGAAGCGAAAAATTGCAAAAAATATGAAGCATAATTAATCTAATTTTTTTTTAAAATTTTCTACAATATTTGATAATATTATTAATATTTTTTAATTTTGATAGTATCATTAATACTTTAAATTTTGATAGTATCATTAATACTTTAAATTTTGATAGTATCATTAATATTTTTAAATTTTGATAGTATCATTAATAAAATTTTATATTCACTTCTCTTTTCTCCTCTTTTTGTTTTTATCATTAAAAATTAAGATGAACAAGAAAGAGAAAGAGAAAGAGAAAAAAGGAAATAAAGAGAGAGAGAGAGAAGATTTTGCTTCATTTTTGATTGTTATTTAGTGGAAAAGTGCTGTTGCTATTTGAAATGGAAAAACCCCTTTCCTAACTTCTTCTCTTTATCATTCATCCATTTTACAGCCATTTTCAAATTGCTCCTTCCTTTAAGCTTCTTTCGAAACTCATTTGTTTCTTGTTCAATTGTTTTGTTCATTTTTTGTTTTTTCTCCTCTCATTTCACCTTCTGTTTCATTCCGTTACATATTTTAATTTATTTCACATAGTTTGTTGGACATTTCTATCTATCATTTCTCATTTCATTTCTATTTTTTTAATTTTTTTCATTATGTTTAGAGAAGAATGAAAGATTACTTTGTACTTACTTTTTCTTTTCTAAGCTTCAAATTTTTGCAAATGTTTGAAAAGCGATAAGTTTCTCGCTCTCAGATGGTTTTAATCTTAACTACTTTCTCGTGTCAATTGACTACTACTAAATCGTTTAGTAAAATGTAATAGCATTTGGTTCATGCGTATATGCATTGTTGTTCATCGGTACAATAACAGGATATTATTTAAATCGATCGGGGCAACGATGAAGCGTTCATATACGGTAGGATCAAGTGAAAGCAGTAAACAATCGGGTAGATTATCCAGGACTAGTCGTATGCAACGTTGGTCATTAGCGTTGCGTCGTCATTGGTTTTCATCTATTTCTGGAAGATCGCAGAAAAGTACAGATTCTGATTTTAATAACATCAGTCCTGTGGAAATTATTTTTGCTGCATCTGAAAAGGCAGCCCTTGAAGGTTCACTTAATGGTTCGTCTTTTTTAGATTAATTCCCGGTGTAATTCACTACTGGATATTTCATAGGTAAACTGGGATTGCTGTAGTTTTTATGTAATTTATGTTGTTTGGGATAGAAAACAATTAGTAGTAGTAGTACTGGAAGCATATATGTTCTTAAATTATTATTATCCAATCAACGGATTTTTTGATAATGATGAATAGAAATTATGTGCTGACTCGGTATATGGTAATTTGTTTAATGTCGAGTATAATCATTTTAGCTGATTATTCAAAAAGATTTAGTGAGATGACTTTTTTTTGCACAATTAAATGTATTCAAATTTTTTTGTTTAATTGCAAGATATATTTCAAAAATTGAATACATTTATTAATTTATATCTATCGGCAAATTATTGTTAGTCATTCAAATAACGGCTGTTAGGAAATAAAGAAAAATTGCGATGCATTTCTTCAAAGAAATAATTATCATCTCTTCTGAGCCAAAAATTAATGCTTGAATTACTTCTCAATTAATATACTTCTCAATTATTATAATAGATTGGAAAAATTATTTCAACATTAAATGTAATATTTACATGTACGTTTTGTTTGCGATCATTTCCTATTATCAATTCTAATTTGCAGATATTAGAATTAATTCATCGTTTAGTGCACTAAAGTGTTAGAAGATAATTTGTATTTAGAGATGTGATGTTTAAAAAAGTATGTAAGTTGCTGTTCTTTTTGTTATAATTCTTTTAACTTCTTGCTCTTTCTTTTCAAGCTTTTAGCAGTGATTGTGAATTGAAGCTATAGATTTTTTTAAATAAAGTGGGGACTTCCTAGCATTTTTAGTGAGGCGTTAATTTATTTTGAAGAGATATCGAGTATAGATGTTGTAAAATTTTTTTTTATCCGAACATTAATATTGCAGTCTATGAGAGTAATGATTGTGTTGTTATAGGAGAAGATAAGGTATGCTAGGATTATTTTATTATACCTTGAAGCAAATGATATGAAATTTTCCCATGCATATTTGCATATTTTCTTCATTTATGTTCTTACACTTGATTTAAGGGAATTACCTTATTCCAATAAGAAATTTTAGAATTTGAGAAATTATGGAAATATTAGTTTAATTTTTCTGTTTTGCTTTTTAGATGGCTCATCAGCATCTTGTTCAACAGATCATCCGTTGGTGGATCCCTCACATTCAACCAATATCACTTCCTCTACACAAAATATTATCAGAAGGAAAAGTTTACGGTGAGTTTCAATCTTTTTTCTTGAAACTATTGTGAATAATATGACGACGATTACTATGATATTAGAAAGAAATTTTTGTTTTTTTTCTTTAAGAGAAGGATAGTGAAAAATAAATTAAAACAATGAAGTGAAGAATGAAGAAGAAATAGAAATTTCTCAGGTTGATGATTGATTTATTAGAATATTTGTTTTTCATCAAAGTTGTCGAAATTTTCAAAATATTAATTTTAAATTATTTGATGATAAAAGTATAAATCGAATAATGAATCAGTCATATGACTTCGTCTTCCTGAAAAATTTTCTGCTTTAATGTTTTAACATCAAAGACTTTTCCAATGGTACATTTGGATAAGACGTTGAAAATGGCTGTTAATTTATGTTATGTTATTTATTTTTTAAGTAATTCAGTTATTACACATTTTCGTTTGCTAATATAGCGTAAATAATTTTTTTTGGTTTTATTACGAAGTGATCCTAATTAATTTCAAAATTTTTCACTAATAAAATTATTCATTAATTATTTCATTGCTTATTTTATTGCAGAGCGAGCAATGATTTGTTTGCTTCCTGTTTGGCCTTTTTTATTTACACACTGCTAAACTTGTTAAATAGCAAATAGATTATACCTATTCCAGCATAAAAATACTCACGCTAAAACAAAGCAAATGAGTTAACAAATCAATGACGTGGAAATACTGGGTGACCTAAACTACAGATTATGTAGGCAATGAGTCATTTCTGTCAAACGGTTTAACAGCAAATATCATAAGCTTCTGTAAGAAAATATTAATCAATGTATGATTATGTGTAACTGTTATGTATTTCCATAATGTGTGCTACTCTTATCAATAACTAATTATTAGTTTGAGAAAAAGATAGTGTGGTTAATATTTGGTTTAGAAAATGGGAAGTCGGAAATTAGCTAAGTTTATGTAAGATTTTATTACCTAGGTTTGCTTTTTTCGATAATTTTGAGATAGCATTTTATTTAGAATTACATTGAATATTTAACCAGCATTGCAGAATTTATTTGTTTCGCCTATCATGAGAAGGTGAAAAGGATGTCTTTTCTCTGGGAAAGAATAAGCTAGGGAGAATAAGAGAACTTGATCATTCGAATTTAGTTACAAGCGTCTTTTCTGCGCAAAATTTATAACTTTTTTGGGGACTTTATTCCAATTCAGGCTTTTTTCAGTTAATTTGTGCTATTTCTCCATTCATTCGCTTTTTATCTGAAATTGATTTTAAGCTTCGTATACTTTGGCCGAAAGTTATTAAATTCCCTTATCTTTTCTTTTTTTATTAACGCCTCCTATTACCTATTTAGTTGTTATACCAGGCTTTCTTAATCATTTTCAGATCTTCAAATATATCTCAATTAATAGACCTTTTTTAGACGTTTCTTCAGTAACGGTCAGCAGCAACAACAACAACAACAGCAGCAACAGCAAGGATCATTAAGTGGTAGTCATTCACGTCCTCAGTCGATATCATTGGCAACACGAAAAGGTAGTGGCCAGCAACTCCGACATAGTGCAGCGGATCCACTTCATCACTCATGTTCCTTAACCGAACAACAAGATCGCTCATTACCAAAGGTTTGTTTAGTATTTGTGCTAATTTTAAGATCGGATTTTGAAGACGCAGACTGTCTGCTGCATACTCTTTGTGTTCTATCTTTCAGCACGAAGAAGTAATCCTTTAGTCAGGCAAACATACTTTATTTACTTATAGACTTTTTGGCAGGCATTCATCTATTTTTTTTCGCTTTATTTGCCAGTTCTTTTAATATTTTAATATGTTTCGAAATATTTACCATTAACCTTGTTCTGTATTGGCATCTCTAATTTTGTCTGTTGACAAAAAGACCGATTGAATCATTGAAAAATGCCTTTATGCTGTCACTTCTTATTTGATAAGATGATATGTTGATAATTTTCATGAAGAGTTAGTCGAACTCTGTGCCACTTGCACTATTTTAATTCTGCTCCATTGTTTTGGGAATATTTTTTAAGTAAGTACTCGCGAAGAAAAAGAAGTAAGGGAACTATTTAGCATTTAAGCCTTGTTTGCATATTTTCAGTCGTGTTAATAAATACATTTCTAGATATGTTTGCTCATATTGTAAAGTCATTTTCTGAAAAGATTTTGATTTTCTTGAAAATTTAATTAATAAGGTAGATTTACATTTACTTTACAATCTTTACTATCCTTTTTCCTTTCGGGCGTGTGTATTTATATCTACTAACTTTCACATTACCTCCATCTTATTGTCATTTCTTAAATCTACTATTACATATAGTAAACATATATATCACATATAGTGGTGCCATGCATAAAATGATTTTTCTCGTTCTTGTAAGCGATATCTTACGATAATATCTGATTGCATGTATTCATTTCCTTTCGATCCATTCCCAATGTATCAAATTTCTTATCAAATTCACCTTCTCTTTCTTCTTTTTCTCATATATTTTTATTATCCAATTTGGTTGCATTCTTGACAGTAGTACTGCTCTTATCCTTTATTTCACATGAATCCTTTTTTTCTAAATCATCTAATAGCTATCGCCTGCCTCATTTCATTTCCTCAACTTCATCCTTCGTTTCCTTCCTTCCAACTTTTTTTCCTTTTTCCATATATTTCTCCTTTCCTCCTTTCTTTAAGTTTAAAATTTATTTTGAGAAAAATGAATGTACACTTGGAACATGACAATCTCATCATATATACAATTTATTTGTAGTTCTTCGCATTCCTATTAAGTAAATCATACGCTTTAACGCTTGCTTTTGAATGTATATTTGATGTAGATTGATCAATTTTCATAACATTGTTAATGATTAAATAATGTTTATTAATAAGTAATTAATAATTCAATTAATTAAACAACATTTATCATTTTATTTTCATTTCTGTTTGATTTTATCCAGCTTTTTTCCAATTAAGAACACTGAATAAACATTATAATAATAATTTTCGGAAATGTTAACCGAATGAGTGAAATTTTTATTGAGATATGTTTCATATTACCGAATCATGATTCGGTAATATTGAATGAATTTGAAATCATCATATTTTTTGATTCTTTGTTATTAGTTTTTCTTCATTTTGGTCGTGTTGCAGTATTCATTTTTAATCGTTTTGCGAAAGGATTGTTTTTTTAAGAATGATAAAATTGCAGAAATTTGCGTAAATGTTGAAAAAAATTAGTATTTGAAAGTAAGAGTTTTCATTTTAACTGTTTGTGTTATCTATATTGCATAGTTATTTGGTATTTTTGATGTTTATGATTATGACTATCAATGCTGTTATCACTTTTATGTGTATATATATATGTACATGAAATAGATTGTATGATGAGATATCAAATTTTCATTTTTTTTCTGATCGTAATTTTTATATAGCACAAAGAAAGGAAAAGTGATTGTGATCGAAATAATTTTGAATAGTTTATATATTAATTTTAGCATATCTAATTGGAAGCATTATTTATCAGTTGTTGTCATTGTGGTGAAATGATGTAAAATATTGTTGAATATGTTACATCACTTAACTTTGTTATTTTAAGATGGATATTTTTAGACCTTCATTGCTTGCAAATATAATTAAGAGAGATTTGAAAAGTAAAAAAGGGAGAGAACTAATTAATATAGACAGGGAATCTTTCTCGCATCATAGTAATATGACAGGATGAATCAAAGTTGAATTTTGGATTATAATCATTTGAACATAGATTTAAAGGAGAAATTGACGATAAATTGTTGGTGTAATTTTTATATCTCATTTAGGAAGAACATGATAGAATGAGAATTTTTTGCACCTTCATATTTATTATTCGAAGAACGCAAGTAACGAATTTCAAAATGTTGGTTAGAAAAATCTCATAGGCTGTGAAAAGCATCATATAATAAATAATACTGATAATGCTTTACTTTTTCGTTTAATTTCAACATCATTGTTTTTTGTTCAATCTTCTCTTTTTGTTAATTTGCAAGAATACTTTTATAGATATCAGATCGTGGATTAAACTTAGAAGTATAATGTTTCAGAAGTTTAATCTATTTTCGCAAACATTCCTCAAATAGAGTTATCAGTGATTTTTGCGATAACTATAACTAATTGTTTATCATTTTCATTCATATTTTTATCATATTTTATTGGTTGATATTTAAAGTTGCTTTTCATTTCTTCATTTAATGATATAGCTCATAGTTTTGAAATTAAATATGTCTTATCTTCTTCACATAGGATCATTTTGATTGTACTAAAAGCTGTATATTTGTATTTTAGCTATGATAAGTTTTTCGTTCATGTTTACCTTAAGAAAGATTAAAAACTAAAATGAAAAACTAAGGGATGAAAAGTGAAAATTTGACAGGGTTCAGTCTTAAAAAAAAGCTTTCAGTGACAAGTTATTCTGCTGATATTGTTGTGAATCATTACAATTTATTAGCCTAATATTGCACTATTTTTCAAATCTCTATAACTTAAGCTAATGTGTTCATTATCTTTTAATCTAAATATTCTATCCCTTTTAAGTATAATCATCTTCCCTTATATTATGCGTCCTCTGTCTTCTTCGATCCATCAGGTACTTCCAAGCACGCACGAAGAATTTATTAAAAATTCTGTAATTGTTGTTTATCTTTGCTTTCATTATTTATGATAAACCTTTTTAATAGTTAAATTTGTCGTGAGAATTATGCAATTTTCAAATTGTACCTTGAAACTTATCTATCAGCATATTTTACTAAAATTTCTGTTAATTTTGCTGAAAATTCATCAATTTTTCATATTTAACCGATAACTTCTGTTGAATGTCATTTCCATAATTTGAGTTCAATGCTAAGCTCTTTGAAACTATTAAGCTGAAAAATATTTTATTCATACGAAATTAGTACTCGCATTGCATCGTACTTCTTTTTCTTTTGAATTCATTCATAAAATTTCCATTTCTATTCATATTCGTTGATAGAAAGGATACAATATATATATATAGCGGGATTTTATTATGGATTTTCCAAATTCGATGTAATGAAGTCATCTGGGAAAGTTGTGATACGCTATCTTCATTGTAATATCATTATCATAATAGTTAAGCGATATATATACGGTTTAGACTATCAAAAAAAAATATATATATATATATCTATATTTATCCTTTCTTTCTAGCATTCCAAATATTGTGTCAAATAATTTGTCGTTTATATAACAAATTATATAGATGAAATTGATAAACAAATAATCTCATTTACCGCAATATGTGTATAAAAGACAAATAAGAATGATTAAAATAAATAATAGCAATGAAACGTAAGTGAAATTAGAATTGAAATATTTAGTTTCTTTTTTCTTCTTCTAATTATCTTTTTTACTTTATCACCTATAACTGCCTAAATTTATCCTTTAAAAAAATTGTTTTTAAATTAAAAGAAGTCTTCATTTATTATTTCATTAATTTTTGTAATACTGTATGTCCTTAAGTCAAGTCTCTTTTTCCATTCCTTTATTTTTGTTTCAGCCTTATCTTTTTCACATATTTTGTCACATCATTGGAATTTTTCTCCTTCCAAATTATTTGTTAACTTTTAAATTTGTATTTAATTGCGAAAGAGTAAAGTTAAAATTTGGGAAACTTTTGACAAGTGTAATAATCAATAGAGAGAAAATAGATGAGTAGAGTATGTGTAGTAATAACGGCTATAATAGAGCAGGCTTATTTCATCAGGAATATTCAAAAGAATGAATGGAAGTTTTATGAAGAAAGAAAAAGTTTAAAGTTCAAAAGCAAACGAAAAGAGAAAATAAATGAGTTATAAAGAAGTAAGAGAAAGAAGTGGAAATAAGATTAATATCGTTGGCTTCCAAATTTTTTCACATTATTACTCTTTATTTCGCAATCTCTTTCTTTCGTTTTTATCATTTTATTATTTTATGAAATCAAGGCCTAGTTATGAAATTAGCCTAGCTTGGCAATCATCAACAAGACAGTAATCGATACGTTGCTTATAATTTTGAGTATTAATGTTAAATTGATATATCTCTCTCTCTCTCTCTTCCTTATCTTCCATTCTGTTCTTTTCCTTTCTTACCTTTCCTACTTTTTTTTAAATTTATTCTTCTTCTTGTTTAAAAAATTTTTCTCTAGTTTTCATAATTTAGGTTTAAACCTTTTCATCACATATCGCCATCTTATTATAATTTAGGCCTTTCCATCTATCGCCATCTTGTTCTTTTTTTGTTTTTTGTCCTATTACACGAAATAATATATTTATTTCTTTATCACAAGCCTTTCTTCTTTATCCCTTCCTTAAAAATAGGATGAAGTAGTTTGAAATCTTCATCCTCTATTTCTCATTTTATATGTTCAAAAATGTTTACCAAAAAATTTTCCTTCTTTTTAGATCAGAATTTCGCTTTCTCATTTTGATTGCTTCATTTAATTGTTTACTTACATCGTTTATTTACATTATGTCATGAAATGACTGAATTATTTCTTCCTCCCATTTCTTTCTTATTTTTTAGTCTCATTTCTTTTATTTTTCCTTAATCCTATTGCGCTTCATTTTGTATACATTTTTTAATTTAATATTTTCTATTTGTTATTTTATGATTATTTATTCGTAATGATATTATAATTTAATTTTTATTCATACATGTATTGTTAAGCGAAAGAGGAATTCTTTTTGCAGTTATATATTTCTATAGTTTCTTTCAATAATAATTATATTTAATTAGAACTATTATGGAATAATTAACAGAAGTAATCATTTTTAAATATGAAAGGAAAAAAAGAAATGAAATAATTGTTATTGATTTAATTTTGGATTTGAAATGAAATTTATGAAATTTAGGTTCAGCTAACAACTTATTCGTTAAATAAATTTATGATTTCATTTTATTTTTTTTTTTTTTTTAGGATTTAATAGAATCAGATTTAACGGTTGTTGGTATAACATCAGCAGGAGGAGCTCATAGTGTTTTATCATCGTGTGACGATCAAGCACATTTGACAGCTGAGCAAGAAACATCAACCGCTAGTGGATTACTTTCGGTGAATTCATCAATAATTGATCCAACAATTGAGTCAACTGCATCATTCTCTGATCAGGGTGAATTTGAATTGCCGCCACCAATGAGTGAATTGAGTAATGTTGTAGCTGATGCTGCTGCATCTCGAAATACATCAGTAAGTATTTTTTTTCATTTATTTGAAGAAAATTTATTTTGTTCGTCGAATATTTTTCAGATTGCTTCATTTCTTTTTTTAATTTGTCTACATCACTTTAAGGTAGCTTTCATTGTATTTCAATTTCATATATTTCAGTTTTCTTTCCTTTCCTTTCCTTGTAATTTAATTTCCCATTTTTTCTTTCCAGTTCATTTCATTTTGCTATTTGTTCGTAAGAACATTATTGGATGCAATTCGATAATCAAATTAGCTTTTTGTATTTCTTTGATCGAATTATTCGTCAAGTATTTCTTTTTTTTTTTTTTTTAGTTTTAGATGAGCTTTTATTAGTCAAATTTAATTCTCGGAATATATTTCGTTCATCGTTTTTTGAAGTTTATATTTATCATTTTTACTGTTTTGTTAGGAATATTTTAGGAATAAATTTGTAATTTAGCAGAAATTACTTTTTATTTCATTGATCTGTTTTAACTTTATTGGTTATAGTTTTCACTTGATGTTGCCATAGTAAATGTCATAAGAATTATTTTAAATAGCCTTTTTTTAACTCATTTGACATACGATAATAATGTCATTTTTGAAGTGAAGTACTCCAATATCGATTATTAACTTACATATTTGCATTTTTCAGACTTTATTTTAGTGTTGGTTCTTTAATAAGGCTTAGGCTTGTGAAGCTTTTGTCTCCCTCTCTCTCTCTCTTGTCATTAAAATTAGAAGGTAAGTGACAATGGGATTTATTATGTAGTGATTATTTATCGGTGGCAATTTATAACGACTCCGCGTTGTCATCATTAGTAATTGATCTCTTTGATGATGACATATCCACTTCATTCAGTGATCTTTTTCATTCCTTGCTAATTAATTAGGTTTTCTGTGGACTTATTATTTTGTAGTGGTTGGTAGTAAAGAATAGTCAGTGGGAAAGTATGAAGATTTGAATACACCATGTAGCAGAATAATTTTTTCATTATTAAAATGTTTAAAATGATAAATGCAAATATAATATAATATAATAAAATATAATGAATAATGCAAATATAATGAAATGATAATGCAAATATAATAAAATGCAATGAAGAAATGTTTGCAATAGTTTATGATATAAATAAGAAATAAGCATATGAGGATAAGAGGAAGAGAGAAGAAGGAATGAAAGATTAAATAAGGGATGAATTTTGAGAAAGAACAAAGGATAGCGGTGCTAGATTGAGTCGTAAATTGTTGCTTGCAGTAATGTAATTTTTACTCATCTACGTATGTTATTATATTTTCAGCTTCTATGGATGGGGAGAGGGAAATGGGTTAGCATAAAGAGATGAATGATGTATATGCATATTGACGAGAAAATGAACTTAGGCTGGTTGTTTAGAGGAGTATGTGGAAAGAAATTCAAAAACATGATTGACTCATCCGAACAAGATGGAATCTTACAGCACTAACTAACTAACTAACCTTAACTAACTAACGACTGATAACTCAAACTGATTGAATTGATGGAAAGCACAAAAAAAAAAGGAAGGAAAGAGAGAAAAATGAAATCCCAAGAGTGTACTGAACTCTCTCTCTACATGCATACAACATACATATGGAAATTATGGAGTTGAATTATTCAGGATAGAGTTATATAGATTAGGATAATACATCCATATTATATATGGATGAATGCTAGAGGGTAAGTAGATAGATAGATGGATAGATAGATGGAAGCATATAGGTAAAAAAGGGATCGAATTGAAAATACTTTACTTTTTTCTACAAGGCTGATTATCATTTCTTTTCAACTATAGTATTTTACTACTTTTTGGTTTAGAAGTCTTTTTGTTACTAGCAAAAAATATGAATTACTTGATATGCATATATATTCAATTTATATTTAATGGAAATGAGAAAATCACCTTTACTACTGGTTTGTCGTTGTTTGTTAAGATACTGATATACTTTCTTCACTTTCTTCATTATCATTTTTCTTTATGATAAGAAAGTGCTTTATCATGAAGTTTTATTTATTCACGATATTTCGGGGGAAATTTCCTAGAATGGAATTTAAAATCTTAAATGATGTTAGAAATAACTAGCGGTATTTTATGTAATAAAATGTTGAATAACAAAAAAAGGATTGCAAAATGAAGTAATTTGAGGCTTCATTGAGAAATTTCTTCTTTTCCTTCTTCAAATTTTATCAATAATGATTTGGTAGGAAAATGTATATGTTCACTTGTAGTAATACATTATTGATTCAGAATTGTTAAATATTCAATTGGAAAACGTTGAATTATATGAGAATGTAATTTAAGGGATAATATCATGAATGATTTTTTCGGAAATTTCGATATCAATAAACTTATCCGTATCCGAGATAAACTTATGTGATCAATATTCAGAACGATTGACAGAGTTAGAAAGTATTGCAGTATTTGGTTGTATTGATAGTATTGACTTATGTGATCAATATTCAAATTGATTGACAGAGTTAGAAAGTGTTGCAGTATTTGGTTGTATTGATAGTATTGTTTCTTTTTTGTAATTCCTTCAAAGAAATCAGCTTTTATCATCTGGTGGATAACTGATGTACGGCAGAGTGTTATATTAAATATACAATCATTCTGTTCCTATTGATAAGGTTTATTTAATCTAATTTTTTTGTTTCACCTGTTAAAATTTTCACGTACTACGTACTTTGATCTTTGATTAAATGATATATGTGGTAATAGAGGTAGGTGTAAACAAGGAAGATGATAGAAGGAAGCCAAAGTGGCCAGTTATATAATACTTGTTGTGATATATTAACCAGAAATTGTCAGTTTTTCCCTACAAACATTTTTCTCGTCCTTTTTTTTAATTTATTACATTCTGTGGAAATTTTTCACAAAAAGTAATCACCGGTAAAGGGAGGAGTAAGAGAAGAAGAAGAAGAAGAAGAAAGGGAAGGAAATAAAATCGAACAGTTGTTGGTTGCTTAGAGAAATAGTAGTGATAACGTTGAGAAAAGAAGTGGGATAAATATGCTTATTTCTGAGATATACCATCTGCTTATTGCTTTTACTCTTTCTCCTTCACTTTCACTTCTTTCCAGATGTTTTCTATTTCGGAAGTTTGTTTTTTTTTTTCGTGCTATCATTCTCTTTCTCTCTCTCTCTCTCTCTCTCTCTCTTACTCTTTTTTTCCGGAACGATATTTAAGAATAAAATAAAAACGGAAGAGAAAATTTCGAAAAAGAGCAATTGAAAAGACTTGTTTCAATTGATGTGACTGGTAGGATAGATTTTACTTTCTCATGATATTATAAATTATGATTTTAATTTGTAAAAAACAAAAACAAAACAATTAAAGGAATAATATTAATTTTATTTGTTATCGTTTTAGATAATTTTAAAAAATGAAAAATTCATTTGAAATTGGCTTATCTGAAAAATATCAAGATGAAATATATAAAAATCTTTGAAGAAAGTTCAATATAATTTATTCCTATCCATAATTTTTTCATCGAATCTTTTGGAAGGATTGGTTAAAGAAATATGGGAGAGTTGCATGAAATAATTTCATTTTTCAAAATTTTAGGATTTTTTTTATCTGTTTTATATTCTTTTGGAATATACATAGTGTGTTTGAGAATGTGATTATTTATTGGTTATAATTAGTATTACGTGTATATATTTAATTAAAACTATCTTTGATAAAGTGCGTTTCGTTTCGGCATAATAACTATCTGTAAGCATAATGGTACTTATTTTGAAACAGTCGTTTTAGAGTTTTTTTTGTCTGAAAAAGAAAATATCTGTTGAAATTTTGAAATTGATAGTTGATTTTATACGCTGATTAATATTATAGATGGAAGAACACGCAAGCGATGGGTTAGGTATTTTCGCGGAAACAACGGATGATCAAAGTGGTACTTCAGAAAAGGAAGAAAAAAATCCACAAGATATAGCAAGGCAAAAGCGACAGTTCGTATTACTTTTTTTGAAAATTTAATTTTATAATTTAAATAGTGTTAATAATTTTTATGATTGTGATTAGAAAAGTCTCTGTAATTTAAAGTTGGATTCATGATGATTTTATGATTATGATTGTAATAATTTGGCTGATAGTTATCATTGATGTTGGCTATCATTAACTGATTATTGTTGTAATTTATGGTGTAATGTAAAATGATTTTAGAGTTGTTTAGAGTTTTAATTTGGTGATTAATTATCATTAAATGGGATTGTGACTCAGATATTTACTAATGTTCATAAAGATTCATATTCTAATTTTGATTTTAGATATGTGCTAATGGAATTGGTCGATACAGAACGGGATTATGTGAAAGATTTGAGTTCAGTGGTAGACGGATATATGGCAAATTTGCAAACGATGGAATTGCCGGAGGATTTGGTTGGCAAAGATAAAATCATTTTTGCAAATATTGCTCAAATTCTTGATTTTCACAAAACGTAATTCATTTCATTTTATTTTTTTCTTCATCTATTTTATTTTTTCATGGTTGTTAGCAAAATTCTCTATTTTGTTTTTTCAGGTTATTTCTAAAAGAAATTGAAAAGTGCCTTGAAGATTATGAAGCTGTGGGTAATGCTTTTGTTAAATACGTAAGTTATCACTTTAGTTTTTATTTTCAATCTATTCGCTCATCATGCATGATCGGAACACTTTGCATCATATACATAAAATAATGATAGGAAAAATGATGGATTTACACGAATTTATCACAGTTCATCTTGCATTAGTCTATCCACTTTGGTTTTAAACTTCTTTCGTCGAAAAACTCTTGGACAAGTGACTTTTGAATTCTCTACTTAATGTTTCATTGCGTTATTAATTGCTGCTTAAGTTTACATTAATTATTCAAGTTTTTGTTCTAATAATATACAGCAGAGTATTAGAAAATGTTGTATTTTGCATTTAAAATTTTTTAAAACGAAAATGTTTAATATCACTTTACAATAACAGTAAATGACGTGAAATCCGTTGACTGTTTTGTTTTTATGTAATAGGTTTTCCAGTTAACTTATAAGTAGATAGACATGATGGATCGGTGCTTGTTATTACTTGCTTAGCTTTTTGGACGATGTAAATATTCAATTGAAACTGAGGTCATTAAGTTAGAATAAGTATCATAAATAGTTTATTTTAGGAACGAAGGCTACATACCTATTATGTGAAATATTGTCAGAATAAGCCAAAATCTGACTTTTTAATGGCACAGGATGATTTTGAGCAGGTATATTTAAATTTGTGAAATTTCTTTTTTTGCTTTTCATCCTGTTATTTCATTGTTTTAAATTTACTTTGTTGTTGCCTCTATATGATGTATAATATCTCCTAAAATGTTCCATCATTAGCATTCGCTTCAGTTTACTACTTCACTTAAACTCTTAGCTTTTCGGTGAATGACTTATGATATCATCTTTTCTACTTGCATAAAAATTTTGAAGGTACTTCTTGCCGTGCTTGCGTTATCTAACTGTAATCATCCTGAAATAGCCCAAAAATTTTGCTGATAAGTTTTAATCTGTATTTTGTTATTTCAGTAATCAAACCATGCATTTGTTTTATTTACAATAATTGTAAGCATTATCTACAAATCAGAATTTTTTTAATATAAACAAAAGTAATTTGAAAATTCCAGTTTTTCGCCGAAACAAAGCAGAAATTGGGTCATAAGATAGCGTTACGTGATTTATTAATCAAACCAGTGCAGCGTATAATGAAATATCAATTACTAATGAAAGATATTTTGAAATATACGGAAAGGGCGGGTGATCGAATGGATGTACTGGAAAAAGCTCTTCAGGTTTATTTGTTTGTTTATTTATTTAGTATTGATTCTTGAAAAATTATGTGCTTAGGCAAGGTCGCATTTACAAAGTTCAAATTCTGGGTTTTTTGTTAGTTATCTTAATAATAATTTGACTTTATGGTTTGCTTTCTTCTCTGGTACAAAACAATAGGTAACTTAAATCAGGAAACTTAAAATCTAGCATATTCAATTAGATGCTGGAAAGCTAAAACCATTATTTAATCTTTACTCTAATGTATAACAGTACTGTGGCGCACATGCGGCCATGATTGCAAAACTGGAATGGGATCATGAATTTCATTTTCTAGGTGATGCATGTAGTACCGAAGGCATGCGATGATATGATGCAAGTTGGCCGATTGCAAAATTTCGATGGAAATTTAAATGCTCACGGAAAATTGATATATCAGGTTGATTCATTTATTTTATCATTTTTATCATTTTTGCCTTTAATAAATTTTTGTAATTTTAAAACGGAGAATATGTTAATATCAGTTCATGCCTACGTGTTACAGGGAAATTTTGCATACTTTTTCTTAAGACCGGAAATATTTCAGGGAACAGTGGCAATCTCAGATAATGCTCCATCACAGCCTTTCAAAGGAAAAGATAGGCGAATATTTCTATTTGAGCAGTCTGCAATCATTGCTGACTGTATTTTGCCGAAGAAAGAATTTAGCAACCCTACATATATTTTCAAAAGTCAAATTATGGTCAACAAAGTGAGTTTAAATCAACTTTGCATTAGAGTTTAAGTTCCTGCTTTTGCTCTATATTGTTGATTCTTAACATTAATCCGTAAATGAATGATTGTGTAAGAGGTGCTGTAGGTCAGACAACAGTTCTTCTATCCTAGTTATGATTTAAAAAATATGTTCTGGGATACATTTCCCGTTTTGATTCCAAACGTTTTTTTATTTGGGAGATTAAATTTTTGTTGCAAAGCATTATAGAATTCTTATAGATAGAAAATTTAATTGATTTTCTATATAATTATTGTAAGTACAATATTCCTAAAAAAGTTCGTTTTCGTTTTCCTTCTTTTTTCTGAACAATAATTGACGTTTTTTTCCTTTTTAAATTTGAAATTAAGAACTGTTGATTTGCATGATGAGAAAGAAGTATCATTTCAATTTCGTTCTGCAACATGGCATATATTTGGCATTAAAAAGTACGATTTACTAATAAGTTGCAACATGACCTATAACTTACGTAAGAAGTTGAATATTGTTAACACATGACGATATAGCATATAAAAAGTATGATAGAGCACGAATTTAGAAAGTATCACAAATTCATTCGATCTTATTCGTGAAGTGTTTATGTTATCTGAGCTTAAAGTTTAAACGGTTCATGTTGTGATTTATTAGTTCTTTGTTTAACAAGAGCTGACACAATACCGATTTATCAGCTCTTGTTATAGTTTTTTTTCTTAAGAATATTTCGGCAACTTTCTTCATCGATCGGCTATCATTTATCACTCCTTTATAAGGCGAAAATCGGAATTTTTGAACGTAGAAGCACATTTTGAAAAAGTAATGATTTAGTTACTAAAAAAAACTTGAAAACTCTCTAGTAATCTTTCGACAATACTATGGTTTTTTCCATTAAACTTAAAAAGTTCGCCCTGGCATGGTTATAAATATAAGTAGGGATAAACTATTTTTGAAACCTTTCAAATCTTTTCTTTTCACAAAATCATTCTAGATAAATATTTTCAACTCTTTCTCTAATTTCGGTAGTTAATATTTTCTTTATAATTTATTAGCATTTGCTTTATGTAATGCAAAGCATTTTTTCCGTTTTTTAGAAATTATTTTAGTTTTTCTTTTGCATAAATTATCAAAAATGAATAAATCTTGTAATTTCATTTGCTTTTAGATGGTATTGGAAGCTAATGTTCCTGACGAACCTTTACGTTTCATCCTGAAGAGTAATGATCCAACACAACCGAATGCATTTGTAGCGCAAGCTAATACAATGGAGGAAAAAGATGAGTGGATTTCGAAAATAAATAGTCAACTGGATCAGCAAAAAACATTTCTAGCAGCTTTGGTAGATCCTAAACGTTATCAAAATCAACTTGCTGGAAGTGTCAGTTCATTGTCGTTGTATGTTTTTTGCTCTCTCTTTGGCAAAATGCTAGTTTCTGAATGCTAACGCTAATTTTCTTTTTTATTATTCAAACTTCATCACAATATACTACAATTCAACTAAATAAGAGCAACTTGAAAGCGAGAAACTAAATTTACTTTGAAGGCAATAAGCCATCTAACAATTGATTTTTCAGCATTATAGAATCATAACTTTTAATGAATTGCAAATTATGATTTTTCTTCTAGCACATTTTGATCATATTTAATCGATATATTTCTTTGTCTTATATTCCATTTTCATCTAGGATGGAAAGTTTTAACTCTTAAAATGAATTACTTTTGTTATGTTACTTCTGATGATTTGTAATTAAGTGATGATGCACCCTGTACTTTTCTCTTAGCGTATTTGCTTATTTGCAATTTCAGGGAAGAAATGGATAAGAAGAAGACGTTGTTTCCACGATTAACGGGTAAAAGTAAAGAAAGTCACGGTTCTTCAGGTGCTTCATCTTCGATGCGTCAAAATTCTAGCATGCAAGCATTGTCATCGAAGAACAATTCATCGACAAAATCGTCGAAGTTGTTTGGTTTTGGGAAAAAAATGAATCCAACAAATAGTAACAAATCAGCAGCAGTAGGTAAATTAAAATAACAAGATGGCACGGGAACAAATCAGCGAAGATTGAAGAATGATGAATGTTGTCAGCCTTTCATTCATATTTCTCTCTTTTGAAAATTAATTAATTTTATAAATTATTGAATTGGCTTTCCAACAGCAAACTATCTGGTTGTTCAAATTTTTCCGAGTTGTTCAGTTAAGTTTTCGAACTAATCTAATATTGTTGAAGTGGCTTTTTCGATAAATGAATTTTCTGGATTTTTTCTGATAGAAAGAAAAATTGATGGAAATTCTCATCCGTTTCGCTAGTGATAAATTAATGTAGAGTGGGACAAAATGTTCATGATCTTCGGCAAAAATTGTTCGGCTAGTGGAAACATCAGCGATTTGTCGTTTGGGATGAGATAAAGAGAAAAATTTTAAGACTGAATTCGATGTTTGCCATATGAAGAAATTCTTTGGGTGGAACTCATTATAGTTGAACTGCGCAGCTTCTTTTTTCATTCATTCGTTTTACTGATGTCAATTTATTCACATATTTTTCTAATTAATTTTTTTGTTATGTGCTATTTATTATGAATATCGATTGTATATGAGTAGATTTATACAATTTGAAAATTAGCGTTTGTTTCGAAGATGATGAAAAACGTTTTGATGTTATACATCATCGATCAAAGAATTAATGAAAAAAATGAACAATTATTTATTCCAAATTTATTGTTTGATTCAAATCTGCTTATATATAATTCATGTGTAAACTGTTGAAGTATATATATATATACGATATCAATTACATGATACAGCTAGTAACAAACTTTTTCTTTTGTTTTGTATAAGAAAAATTAATTAATTAATACGGTTTTACGAAAATCTCGGATTCGAATTTGCATCTAAAATTAAACCGGTGTTTTTCTTTCTTTTCTTTATTGCTAATCAATTTTTCTTCCTCATTCATCTTATTCATTTTCTTCCAAAAAAAGTGCCATTTCATAAATATGTGAGGATTTCTTACTTTAGACAAATTTCAACAACATAAATCCACCCTCCCCCAAAATAACTATTCTTCCTTTCTTTTATTCATTTTCACTTTCTTCTAATTTAGTTAATTTATTTTAATTAATACTCCTCCGTATCATTTCTTCCACTTTTTTTTCTTTTGTTTTTAGTTTGTTTTTGTTTTTGTTTTTATTCAATTTTGATTTAATACAGAGAAGGGAAAAAGAGAAAAAGAAAAAGCTCTCTCTTATTGTACATATTATATTATTTGTAAAAATTTCTTGTGCATTTTTCTCGATGTTCATTTTTCTCGAGTTTTTCTTCTTTATTCAAATTAATGAGCTTATTTTATATATTATTATTATTATTATTATTCAACGAAAATTGCTATTCTCATATTATTGCTGCTTCTTTTGAGATTTGACGAAAAGAAATGAGAAGTTTTATTAAAATAGTTAAGTTATATGTTGAATGTTTTCTCTTGACAGTCTTAAAAATATGTTTGAATGTTTTCTCTTGACAGTCTTAAAAATATGTTTGAATGTTTTCTCTTGACAGTCTTAAAAATATGTTTGAATGTTTTCTCTTGACAGTCTTAAAATATGTTGAAAATATGTTGAACATTTTCTCTTGACAGTCAATTTTTTTTTTTTTTTGTTTTAATTGCTGCTTAGAGTATTAAGGTTTTTAAATTATCTCGAAGAGTTTTTCATACGAACGATACAAATTAAGTAAGTTACTAAAATTTTCGATTAAGTTCGAAATTTTCATATAACTTTAATTTTTCTTTCTTTATCAAATTGTAGCATATTTGAACAGAAATAAATGTGATAACAGTAGTTTTTAATATTGTTTTGAATAGAAAGAAGTATTTGTGGAAATCAATGTTTATCAATTACTCTTATCATATTTGTTTTCTATTCAAATTAAATTTCTATTTTGAAAAGAAATGTTTACTTATATATATATTTCGCTCATTTCATTTATCCATCCATCATTTGATATGCATATAATGTTTTTTAGGTATTATGGAATATTTTTTTGATTAATGAAATGAGAATAGAAATACGATAATATATATATATATATATATATGTTGGGAGTATTATATAATTTATCATTCTTATCATTTTATTGATCAATGTGCAACAATTATTATTTTATGTCTCTTTCTTCTTTTTTTCATCATCATTTGTTGTTGAAAATTATTGTTTTAATGATTGATTGATTGATTGATTGATTTATTGATTTATTGAGTTCTTATGCAGTGCTAAAATCTTTTCCGGTTCCTGTTTTCTTTTTTTTATCAATCATTATTTTATCTTATCAAGTAAATGAAATGAAATTTTCGGAAAATACTGATACTTATGAAAGGTGGATAATTTTTTTCACTCATTCAATTTAGGTGCCTAACTCTTTGTTTTAAAAAATATTTAAACCTTTTTTTCTATATTCCTTCTTCCTTCCCATCATCACTTATCACCACCTTCTCTTCCTCTCTTCAATCTTAACTTCCCCTTTTTAAATTTGTGCAATGAAAATTTCTCTGTGAAAGAAGAAATTAATTCGAAAAAATTTTTTTGGAGTATTCTTTAATTTTTTGCTTTGATCTCTGATGTTTTTATTTTTTTCATATGTTTGCTTTTTGGAATTGATATTTTTGCGATCGTTAATAAAGGTTGCTTTTGAGCATTTGGTAATTGTTAGCTGCGCTCATAAATAAATTATCATAAATGAAATTGCGATAAGAATTTTGTATTTCGTGTCATTTATCAGGCATAAAAAGTAAATTCGGTTTTCGGTTTGATACAATCATATTTTCAGTATATCATTATTAAGAAAAAAAGCAGGGAGAAGTAGTTTGTGAAGAAGTGAAATAGAAATTTCCGGAGTTCGGAAATTGTGGTCCTTTAGACACGAGGAAAAATGCAACTTATTTATTTATTGTCGACATTGTTGAAATTCGACAAAGTTATTGGATGCATGGGATCGTTTTGCAGAATTTTAATTTCCTTACATTATTATCTTTTTTAATATATTCATTAAAAAATCACTAATTATTTGGGATTTATGTAAATTTTAAGATTTGCCAAAATTTCAAAATCTTTTTTGAGTACTTCTTCTCCTACCTTACTACCTATCAATTTTATTAAGTTGAAAATGATAGGTAGGAGTAAATTTTAGCAATTTGATAATTTCAATAATTAGAAAATTAAGACGTCCTACCTTACCTCCTATCAATTTTAATCAATTGAAAATGATAGGTAGGAATAAATTTTAGAAATTTGATAATTTCAATAATTAGAAAATTAAGGCGAATAGTTTCTGATGGATATAATCAAATCGATAAGAGGAAAATTGAAGATAAGAATTTACGATAAACAGAAAAAAAAATGAAATGATAAGTGATAATCAATCATTTGATAAGAAAAAGATCTATGAGAGGAGTTTGTTGAAAAAATAAATCATTTCATTAATTATCATGTTATTCTTTCCTTCTCCCTCTCTCTCTCTCTCTCTCTCTCTCCCTCTTCTCATTTGTATTTTTTCGAAAATATTGAACTGATAAGAAAACAATGAATGAAATAGTAAGTTGAAGATTTAAGATGATGAAGAATTGTTTATAAGTGAAATTGAACTGGGGATAGAAGAGCTTCTTACGTGTGTTATTTAATTTATTCCTTTTTACTTTAGCATTTAGCAGTTGTTGTTGTTGTTCTTGTGGTGGTATATTGTTGTTTGGATGAAATGATGATGATAATGATAACAATTGATGTGAATAATATTTAAAACGGAACAGTTGGAAAAATTATTGAAATCGGAAAATATGTCTGATGGAACAATAACGGTTAGCTTTATTTTCTTAATTTAATTAATTGATAATGTTTATTGTCATTCATTTTACTTTTTTCCATTTTTTTGTTCATTTATTTATTTCTCCGGTTTTATTATATATTTTATTTATCCGTTTTATATATATATTTTATTTATCCGGTTTTATTATATATTTTATTTATCCGTTTTTATTATACATTTTATTTCTCCGTTTTATATACATATTTTATTTATCCGTCTTATTATATATTTTATTTATCTGTTTTATAATATATATTTTATTTATCCGTTTCATTATATATTTTATTTATCCGTTTTATTATCAATTTTATTAATCCGTTTTATTATATATTTTATTTATCCGTTTTTATGATACACTTTATTTGTCGGTTTTATTATATATTTTATTTATCCGTTTTATTATCAATTTTATTAATCCGTTTTTTTCATATACTTTTTTTGTATAAAATGCTATCAAATAAAATGATGAGCTAGCTGTTCTTTCATTTCCAACTACTTTAGGAGTTTTCTTTTTAATTTAATATTTAATAACAATTATAACCTGAATTAATGTACAATTTAAATTAGTATAAATTAGTACAATTTGAATTTAATAAAATTATAACGCTAAACGAATTAGTGCAATTTTAATTAGTATAATTAAGAGTACAATTTGAATTTTAATAAAATTATAATTCTATACGAATTAGTGTAATTGTAATTAGTATAATTAAGAGTACAATTTAAATTTAATAAAATTACAACTCTAAACGAATTAATGCAATTTTAATTAGTATAATTAAGAGTACAATTTGAATTTAATAAAAATAATAATTCTATATGAAGTAATGCAATTTAAACTAAATTAGTTGAAAAAGAATTAAAAGATTATTTCATTAAATAATTTTAATTTATCATATTGTTTTATATATATGTAAGTCATCAAAATTTTACTAAAATTGCTTTTGATTTTATTTGTTTATACGCATAATTAGTACAAATGAATAATTTTTAATCAAATTCAAAATAACAACACTAAAATACGATTTCAATTTAAATCTGATGTATAATTAAGAATAATTAATTATTCTATTTGTTATTTAAAAAACATTTTTCATTAATTATTAGAATGAATCATCGATGCAAGAAGAATGTATGGAAGAATTAAATGCTGTAATGAATTGTTCATTCAGTGCGGTAAGAAAAAAGCAAATTAGTATTCATCGAGGTGAAAAGGTTATTGTTATTGCTGTTGTTGTTGTTGTTGTTGTTGTTGAATTGAATAATATCATTAATTAATAAATAGTCAAAATTCGATTAATTTTTACAATGATTAATTTGTTTGGAAATTTAAAGTTAAAAAGATAATGATGATAGATTGATAAAGAATAAAAACAATTCTAAGAATGCACGCAAATATTAATCATGCTAAGAATAAGACAATATTGCTGCACCGAAATTAATTAACGGATAATAATTAAGAAAACGGAAATTATTATTTTAATGTTTAAATTTTCGTATGACTCAATCTAGGTATCATTCACGTACAAAAATGAATTACGTGTAATTAATTGTATCTCATAAATCTAAGTATCATTCACGTATAAAAATGAATTACGTGTAATAAATTGTATCTTGTATATAATCATTGCACAACGATTTGCTTTATCATAATAATCAATGGATTTTTCATATTATGTAATTGATAAGTTGTGTATCGTTTACAGGTGAAAATTTTAAGCATTGATAAGAAAGGATATGCAAAAGTTGTGAAAAATGATGGCACGAAAGGTTATATTCCAACCTATTTTTTGGATTTGAATACAGTACCAGGTGATAATTTTGCTCAACAAATAAGGTTCGTCTTTTAATATCATACTTTTATATTTGCTTAATTTTGTTAAATTTCTAATAATCATGCTTTCAATAAATGATGGCCTTATTGTCTTAGCTGTAATAATTATTATTAATGAATTTAAACGAAAATTCTATTTGTTCAGTTTAAAGAAGAAGAAGAAGTTTAAACTCGTTCCAAATTCATTAAAATTGATTATCACAGCAAAGGGATATTTATGCTTTTCATTGTTGTACATGTTGTATAGGTTAAGCTAACAGTGATTATTTTAAGCTTTACAAAAATTGAAAAGATATCATTTTAGTTTTTTCAACTGATAACATTATATATTTCATCGAAAAATTGATTATTACAATTAATTATTAAAATTAATTATTCCAATTCAAATATCTATTAACTTACTATAAATTTGTTTTTACATGCGTTAACATTTGTTTATATTTATATTTATATTTATATTTTAGTTTAGTAAACACAAAAAAGATGACATTTGTTTATATTTGTATTTATGTTTATGTTTATGTTTACGTATAAATGTAAACATAGTGAACACAAAAAAGATGACATTTGTTTATATTTATATTTATGTTTATGTTTATGTTTATGTTCATATTTATATTTTAGTTTAGTAAACACAAAAAAGAAGACATTTGTTTACATTTATATTTATGTTTATGTTATGTTTACATTTATATTTTAGTTTAGTAAACACAAAAGAGAAGAAATTTGTTTATATTTATGTTTATGTTTATATTTACATTTATATTTTAGTTTAGTAAACACAAAAAAGAACCCATTTCTTTATATTAATATTTACGTTTATGTTTATGTTTATGTTTACATTTATATTTTAGTTTAGTAAACACAAAAAAAAGATGGAAAAACAAAAGAAATTATTATTTAAATTCGATTTCATTTTTTCATTTCAGATATCGTCGTAAATGGTATCATTTAGTGGACTCTGGTCAAGCAATTATTTTCAACAATAATCCATCGAATTTATTAAATAATATTTCATATCTAACTGATTTACTATCATTTCTACCTGTAAAAAAAGAATCATTTTCATTGGTATTTTCATCTTCTTCAGATAAACAACCAATTTGTATTGAACCGTTACAAGATCTGAAAATAAAATTGGGTGAAAAAATAATTTTAATGTGTAAATTTTTCTCGGAGGAATCATATACAATTACCTGGCGTGGTCCGGTAATTACAGCTAAACGTCAATATGAAATTACCGTAAGTATATAAAGCTTTCATTGTTTTACTTCTTATTAATTTCGAAAAATTACAATCAATTAAATCTATTTTTGAAATATTACTAAACCGACAGAAAAATTTATTACTTCAAAATTAATCACAAATAAAAGATAAAGTGATAAATGATAATTGTTTGATATTTTTGGGATTGGAATTTTAATAATAATAGTAATGCTCTTTTATAAGCTGTAGAAAAGATTTCATTATATAATTTAAAATTTTTCTTATCCAATGAAGATAATCATAATGACAATCACTATAACTTATAGTGATGATCAATATATATAATGTATACATATAGATATATCCTCATCCAATGAAGATAATTATAATGAGGATCAATTTTTGTTAAATTCATCTAAGATAGTTATAGTGATGATCAATATATATATAATGTATACATATAGATATATTCTCATCCAATGAAGATAATTATAATGAGGATCAATTTTTCTCAAATTCATCCAAGATAGTTATAGTGAGGATCATCAATATATATGTAATATATATAATTATATATATATCTTGAATATTAAAATAGGTCTTTTGGATATTTGTTTTTCGATCAATATCTTCAATTTATTTTACACTTAACTATTATTATCTGCTAATCATATTAATAATTTATTTATCATTATTAATATTCACATATAATTAATTGAATTGAAAGAAAAGAAAGAAGAATGATTTTACTTTCTTTTGCAGACAAAAGAAGAAGAAGGCTATTCAATGTTAACAGTTGAAAAATGTGTTGAAGAAGATAGTGGACAATATTGGGTTCAAGCTGAAAATATCTTTGGTAAATGTCATACCGTTGCTTGGATTACAATAATTGTACCACCTGGTTTAACCTATATCACAACATGTAAAGCAATTAATCGAAATAGTGTATTGTTACAATGGAAAAATGCACGAAAGGGTAATTCGAAAAAAGTCTACTATGTTGTAGAATATAAACGAAAAGGTTAAATTTTTATGATAATTTTTTAACTATATATTATAACTATAATTTTTTTTAGCTATATATGTATATATTATTACCTGTATGCTAACTAATTATTTTATAATTCAAGTTTTAATAATTCAAAATACTTAATATCATTTCTTTTATCTATTTTTTTAATTTCTCTTCCTTTTGTTTTTAGAGACAACAATTGTAATTTTTACTAAAAAATTTTATCTTCTTGCATTATTATAATGATTATATTGCTTATCATTATAATGATTATCATTGTTTCAGCATAATCAATGATAATATAGCATTAAATCAAAGTTTTATACATCTTTCAGTAATGTATTAGTATCAGCAAAATAGAAGTATCATAAATCATCAGTAATTTTTTGCAGGTGTGATAAATTACAAGGTAGCAATGGAAGGTATCATTGGTACATCAACGGTTATCACAGATCTCAAATCTATTTCTTATTCTTTTCGTATTTACGCATTTAATGAATATTTCAAGGGTAAACCTGGACCAATAGCTAATGTTGACTTAAGCATGGCTCTTTCATTATCATCGATTATTTCCATTGATGATATCAATGCTAAGGTGATAATGATATATCAATTCATAATTATTTTCATACCTTACTTACAATCATTTATTTACTTTCTTTATTGTTTTATTTGTTTTTCACGGTAATTAAATTTAGGAATAATAATATTATTAATTTTATACTTAAAGAAATCAAATATTATTTCATTTTATATGAATAATGATCATTAATTTTTGGATTCACTTTTATACTTTCTACGTTTACAACATATTTTTCACGTATGAAAGAATTTTATTTTACGTCTATTTCACGTAGTGAAGAATTAACCGATTTGTTTATAATTATACTTTTCATTATTTTGATTTTTTTTTTTAATTTAAAACTATATTTATTAGTAATTTATTATTAGACGAAATATATTGATGAAGCAACATATGCGGAAATTTATACCAATTCACGGGTTGTATACAAAGGAAGATTTGCTGTGGTGAAAGAAATAATACGTAAAAATGATAAGAAACAATATGCAGCAAAATGTTTCATGCGTCAATTTACACAATCGACAACTGAATGGGAAAATATTGAACGTGAAGTAAATATTATGCGTTGTGTACGACATCGTAATATTGTTATTTGTCGTAGTGTTGTTAAAATGAACAATCAGCTAATCATAATTATGCAATGGTAAAAGATTTTCTTTCTTTTATTCAATAGAACAATTAATTATCATTTCGAAGAGTTTGTTTTAGGAGGTTGGATAGCAAGAATTATTATCGATGATAATAATAAGTAAGAAATAATGGTAATAAAAATAATAACAATAATTAATAATAATAATAAATATTAGTTAAATTAGTTATAAAATCATTTCGGAATAACGTTTTCAGTTCTTTTATTTAATAGAACAACTAATTATCATTCCGAAGAGTTTGTCTTGGAAAGTTGAATAGCGAGAATTATTATCGATGATAATAATAAGTAATAAATAATAATAATAATAAATAATATTAATAATTAGTAATAATAATATTAATAAATAACAGCTAGATTAGTTGTTGTAAAATCATTCCGGAATAACGTTTTCGGTAAAGTTGTTATCCAATAATAAGATTAAATATTTAATATGTCAATTAGTTTGATTAATAAAATTACCAAAAAATTTTCCTTCAATAAAACATATACTTGTTGATATCGAAAGCTTTTAAAAGGTGAAATATTAAATGTGGTATTAAATATAGTGAGATATTAAATATGGTATAAATATAATATTAAAATTAAGGTATTAAATATGAAATATTTTTATTCTGATATTTTAAATTTTTATTGATATGAATTTTATCATTTTTCCTTCACTCTTTTTCTGTTAAGAGAAGATAAGTAAATAAAATAATCCGTTCATTTCAAATGTAAGCATTTCAACGATTTAACTATAATTAATTAATTGCTTTAATCATTAACAATTGTTTTAATAATTAAGGTTAAATGGTCCACATCTATTAGACTATATAATACGTTTGGGATATATTTCTGAAGTATTAATTCAACGATTTTGCAAAGATCTTCTATTAGCATTGGAATATCTTCATTCCTTTAAAATTGCTCATCTTGCTATTCAGGTAAAAATTTTGGTCCAATTATTTCTACAACAAAATATAAATTTTTTTAGGTTAAAAATTTACGAAAAAAATTCTTTTTTATTTTCTTCCTTCTTTTTGTTTGTTTTTATTAATTTCATTATAGCCGGAGAATTTATTAACGCATATTAGTAATGCTGTACGACTTGTACTAATTGATTTTGGTTCAAGTCGATGTGATGAAGAGATAGCCGTTTGGAATTGTGTTACAATTGATTTTGCTTCACCGGAACAAATTTCTCATAGTAAAATTACAACAAAATCGGATATGTGGTAATTAATTATTCAATGAATTAATTGCTAATTATGTGTCTATCATTAACTTTTGCCATTCCAAATATTATAATTATGCATATACATGTATGTATCAATTTTGAAATTCAAATATATAATTTTATTTAATTAATTATTATCAGTTTTCATGATTTTTTATCTTTCATCCTATAGACAGAATATTATCGATAGTGTGATACTTATCATTTCAATCTGCTAATGATAACTATTTAATTATTTGATTACAGTAATTTGATTTCATCAAAGCTTATCAAAATTTTATTATAATATTTACCAATCTAATGTAATTTCTAAATCAAATAATTAACTATATTCTATAAATAAAATTTATATAATAATATTAATTTTTCAATTTTCAATTTCCACATTATAAAAACTGAATTGTACTAATTAATAGGAGTTTTGGAATTATCTTATATACATTAACAACTGGTACAACACCATTTGACGATGAATATTATGAAGTGATACGATTAAAAATCCTTTCTAACATTTCAACAATTGATGAGATAACAAATTATCAAATCCATTCAGATGCAATTATTATGATACTGAAATCTGTAATTATCGATGATGCCAGGTAAAATGATTTCATTTTCTTTTTGTTTTCGTTGTACATAAACTACTGCATGCTAACTTTCTTTTAAGTTTTGTTGTTTAAATTATATTTTATTTCTAATCTTAAGTTGTTATTTTTGACTTCTTTCCAATTTCAAGTGTCGAAAATGAATTATCAGCATTATAAATGATACCAGAAGTAGAAGGAAAAGTGAAAAAGGAGAGAGAAAAGGAAGAGAAGAAGAACGAAGAAAGATGAATGGCTGAAAAAGGAATTCCTTAATTAGGATTTTTACCTTTATGCTAACATTTCAATTTTAAACTTTACTTCAATTTAATTCAAAATTCAAAATTTGACTACAAATGATATTGAATAAGTGAGTAAAATATTTGCTTAGAAGTATCCCTTCCATTTGTGTTTTTGAATTTATGGATCGAAATTGAAATTCATTTGAATTAGAAATAGGGAAATATGAAATACTGTTAATTACCATTCAGTAAATTAGTATCATATATTCTCAATTTATAGTGCTCGATTATCAGCAACAGAATGTCTGAAAAGCAAATGGATGCAAAATGTTTGTTTTTGAATTTATGAATCGAAATTGGAAATTTATTTGAATTAGAAATAATGAAATACGGTATATTAGATTCACTAAAGAATTAGGAAAATACTGTTTATTAGATTTAGTTATTCGATCATTAAGTATGATCACTTTAGTGATAGAAAGAAGACAAGAAATCAATAAAATAGTGCGAAATAGTAATCGGTGTTAACAATGAGATTTCTCGTTGTATATGTCTTCTTTTCTTAATGATATTGTCATAATTTCGGAGGATACGATTCACTCAGCCAAAAATAAATTCAAATTTCAACTCAATCATTCAACTCAATCAAAATTAGCCATAATTTAATTATCATAATTTCGAAGGATATGATTCATTCAACCAAAAATAAATTCAAATTCCAACTCAACCATTTTTCAACTCAATCATTCAACTCAATCAATTTCAATTCAATCAAAATTAGATATAATTTAATTATTATAATTTCGAAGGATACGATTCATTCAGCCAAAAATAAATTCAAAATTTCAACTCAATCAAAATTAGATATATTTTAAACAAATTTTTTATGAACCTTTTTTTCTTTTTGAAAAACTTAAAATGTTTTGTTGTTCATTCAATTTTTATCTTCCGAAATAATTTATAGCACGGAAGTGAAGAACTCTTTCTCGTAGATTATTTAGAAGATTACAACGAACGACGTAAGAAGCAACTTCAACGGATTGCTGGTGATTAATTTAAAGATTATGGAATTATTTCAATTTGTTGAATTGCACATATTTATATCGTCGAGGAAAATTCTTCAAAATACGAAATGAAAATAAATTTTATTTTAATTGGTATTTTGATTTCACAAAAACTTACTTTTAAAAAAGGAAAATAGAAGCAGTGTGTGCGCTCTTCACACATCGCAAAAGTCAACTATCTTCCATCAGAATGCAATTTATATGAAGATCAGGAAAAATTTTTACTTTTTAAGAAATCAGAAAAATTTGTTTCGGGAAAATTGATCCTCATACAAGGATCAGGAAAATTAGCTTAGCATTATTCTATTAGTCGAACTTCAATTATTTGATTTAAGTATTTGACCATTTGTCTAATTCTTAATCCATTTAAAAATTCTACATTAAACAGCTAATTTAAGTCAAGGTCTTGAGATGCAAGAATTGGCACACTTGTACTTCTAGTGTGTCTCATATGAAGAACATGATGATTCACAAAGATTTAAAAATAAAAATGAACGAAATCCACGACTTCCAAATGATGAATAATTATGACAGTTTTAATCCGAATTATCTTTTTCATCCCGTACTTCACTCATTTTCTCAAGAAGTGATTTAAAACAAATCTCATTCTTCTAAGGAGCTATTTATTGAACAATGCTTACATTTGCATTGTTATTCATTGAAATTCTTGGATTCAACTTGCAGTACAATTAACTGTCTATGAGTACCACAATTAAATTTATACAATGTCATTGGACAACAATCAAATTAATTTACAACACGACAAAACTTAACCCTTTGTGGTTGTTCTTTTCTTTTTGTGAAAAAAAATCAGCAAAATTTTTCCTTTATAGAATACAATAACTTAATTACAAAAAACAATAAAACAATACTGAAACAACTTTTTTTTGCAATTCTGAGATCGCAGCAAACATGGAGTTTGCACGGTTTACTAACTAGCATGGCACATCTTTCCTCATTATATAAATGAGAGCAAGATATTGCAGTTTATTGAAATAAACTAAAAACTTTGGCTACATTTGGATATGCTGACTACACTTGGATACTGCTTTGGAAGCAGCTATAATGTCAAGCTAACAAAGGTTACATTATTTCCGATTTTGAACTTATAAAAATTTTACTGCATTCATAAGCAACTTTCCAGCAACTTAACTTATTTATAACTTTTTCATTCATGGCACGTGATAATGTTATGTTATGTAACTCTTGATTCTTATTTGAAACAAACATGATATGCCATGAAATCATCTATTATTATTTCTTCCATCAATAATAACCAGATCTTGAAAATCTCGCACACTGGAAAAATGGATAGACCTATACTGATACAAAATTACAATCAAGAATGAAGAGAAAACCAAGAACTTTATTGAGAAGTGAGTCTCTAAATTTTTAGTCTGAAAATTAAAAACCTAAAAAACAAATATCTGTTTAAGCACTTTTACTCAAGAAAATAACTTATCGATATTGATATAGTTACTCTAAAATGGGAGGAATAACATTAAGCACAATTAAAGATGTTCGAAAAAAAATGAAAACAACTAATTAAAAATGCATTTTACCTCAACAGTAGAATCATTGAACTGGATACAATATATAAATAATAACTCAATAAAACCAAAATTAGCATATTCAAAATGGAGAGACAAATACTTCAAGCCTCGTCAATATTCCCTACATTCCTTTAATCTCAGTTAGACTAATATTACTCGAGGAACCTCAAATACTATTCCACGTTTAGTATTTTCTTTTCACTGCCAACATTTAATACCCAGAAGTATGCAGCTTCTCTCTCACAACTAAATTCCATTGTACGAAAAAAGACGAACGAGACTACTTGGACTACCATCCAATTAATACTTATACATAAGCACATCAGAGTATAGAAAATTTTGTAATTTACATATAAATTTCGTAGAAAAATCTACTGAAATCGATATCAGTTCAAATGAGTTTGGATTACTACAGGTATGTTTTTATGGCTTCCATAATTTCAATAACCCATCTTCTGCATATGATGATATCAGATTCTGATGTGGGTGATGGCACAGACCATTTACTCGATCGTCATGTAACTGAAAAAACAGATATAAAAAATGGAAAGGGTTCCGAAAATTCAATTTCATTTCTTCTCAGATTGGGAAATTTATCATTTATAAAACTATTTAACGTACCGGTAATGTACTTTCTAGATTTCCAGTAATTAACGAAAAACAATAAAGTACGTGGTCTTCTCCAACACAGTACACCCAATCGCCACGCGGAGAGAGTGTACATGCAACAAAGTTACCGTTTTCAGTTTTACCCGAAGTCATTGATTTAACAATCTGCAACATTAAAAAAATTCATGGAAACTACAAAATAATTTTAAAAATTTAAAAATAAGGATGAAGATCTTGAAGAAATTCAAAATTCTTTGACTCATACATTGAAATTTACATGTCTTTACCTGTCCTCGGATATTTACAATAACAATCGTATTTGACCGATTGCAAATGATGAATTGATTATCAGATTTGGGGATTGGATTCACACTATTCACGACTGTATCACCTGCTACTCGTACTGTATTCACGCACTCGCAAGTTTTCAAATTCCAAACTCGTACTGTTCCATCGCTTGAAGCAGAAACACACATATGGCCATCCTGAAAGGTATAAATCTGAAAATGTGGATTAAGACAAAATAAATTCACAAAAATAATGAAACAAAGTATAGCACTGCCGTTTCTCTATCGATTCTACCGTAAGCAGACATATATTTCATGCCATTCTTTTGAAATTAATCTGTTTACCTCCGTATATTTCGCATCATTAACATAATTTGTATGTCCTCGAAGTTCCTTCAAACATTTACCACTCTTTAATCCATGAACTCTGCAAACAGTAATAAAAAATACTGCCGATATTAGCAACAAAATTCAAAATGTATAAAATCGAACAAATCAACACTTCATATATCACAAATGATAGTTATCATGATCCGTAGAGACTAAGCTCCTTTCAATTCATTAATGTGATATAATAGCGAAAAGTTATATAACCTACTTCACAAGGGTATCAAATGATGCTGAAAGAACATGTGCACTATCTTTAGAGAAATGTACACTAGTGATGCCCATATTATGTGCTTTCTCGATGCGTCTTAAACACTGTCCCGTTTGTATTTTCCATACCTGAATTGCAATAAAAATGCTGTAAAATCCATTCACTAACAAAAATACCTGAATAGGATATTTATTCTGAAATGGATCTGAAATTTATTAAATTCTGCTAAGAAGGGTAAAGGAAGAAATATGCCTCTGGTCATTAAGCCGATCTTGGATTCAAGTCGCAGAGATGTTTTGAGACTGGGTTTTTTTCTTTCAAAGCATGAAATATGTTATTTGTAATTCTAGAAGAATGGCAAAAAGGACTTATCGCCCACTACTATTAATTAAAAGTTTAGTGAACTAACGTGGAGAATGATTATTGTGATTAAAGTGCATTACATGTAAAAAAAGAAACCTTTATTTTGCCTTCCATGCTAGCTGTAACTAACATTTCCGAATCACGACTAAAGCATAAACTCAAAACTAAGCCATCCATCATCATAAAATTATCTTGCGCTTGATACTTCAAATCTTTCCGTAGCTTTCCATTCATATAATTCCAAACCTACAAAAGGACTCATAAATACACCGATAGATTGGTCGAAAAAGTAAAAGATTTCATCCGAAATTTCGAAAACAAGAAAAAAAACCCGACTTCGATAAAACCATCCACTGAACCAGTAACCAAGTATTGTCCATCTGGTGAAAACTGAGAGCAGTGAGGGAAGCTTGTTTTACCGAATTTAATTTGACGTGCCATTTGCGTTGGATAGCGTTCCTCCTCTTGCTCACGAATTGCAGCTTTACCACGAAACAAATCAATCTGAGTCCCTGAATGTTATAAAGAATACATGTATTCATGAAAAGTGTAAGGGTCACATAAGACAGAGCTGTGTCAAATTTTCAGAGAAACTTTTAGGAAGTGATGCTATACAGTGTTTTTTAACAAATCGATTATATAGAAGGTGAGACGATAAAAATAGAAACTGCTTTGTAGTCGCTGAAACTGTTTTTTTTTTCCTCCTACTACTTTTAAATATATTAGGGATTGTAAATATATAACTCTGGGAATATTTGTTTAACAATTTAAAAAGTTTGAACATCAAATCGCAATTTCGTTTGAACAGCGAAAACATTGAAGTATACCGGGTGGAAGAAGTCCTTGATGTTGCTGCCATTTCAATGCTTGCGCTAAAAGTGCCAGTAATCTGGATGGTGGTACAACATTCACTTCGGCCGATAAAGACTGCAAAAAATTCTTTTTTATATTCATTTAACTAAATAATAACTGCTTATCCAAAAAAGCAGATGCATAATGAAAGCCGATTACAGGCAAACTGCATATTAGCATAAAATCAATCTGTTTTAATTAAACTCAAAGCCAAACTTGTGCAATAGCAGCTCTTCGCTTTTCTTTCGAGCTACCGTCAGGATATACTTCACGTGGATCAAAGTAAGAACGAGCCAAAAGATTGTCTAGTCGAGCATATCTAGAACATGATCAAATTTATGTAAGAAAATTTGAAACATGAAGAACTAACTATTCGATTACTTAATTTTAAAGATATAAGGAAGGAGGAAAGAAATGAAATGCTCTTTCATTTCGTTTTTTTCTTTTTTCTAGATTGGACTCCCTAAAAACTGAGAAGCGATCATAGTTTCGGCTAAAGAGTAATTCTTAGGGTAGATCACCACTCTGTAGGAAATGTTTATACTTAATCATAGAGATAAGTTAACCAACAGCACCAATGCAAGTCATAGAAATCAGTTTGAAATAATAGTTAATGCTAGTACCTCTCCGGTTCCGTCGTTTTGAGCAGTTGCATTGGATCAGTTTGCCGCAGAAGAAGTCGAGCCGAGCCCAATTCACGCAGTTCCGTTAATTCAATCACAATCTGAGAAATGAGATATAAAAATTTCACCATGTTCATTTCTTACCTTATAAATATAGGATTTGAGTACTCCATAAAGCATGACCACTTGTCAAAGATTTTAAACTTACCTTGCTAATTCCTTTAACTTCACCACACTTTACATCATATGTTGAAAAGTATATCGCAAAGCTACCTGTTCGTATAAATCGATCAACTTTTTAGCCGGTAGTTTTAATGGCTGAATAACTTTAAGCACCGTATCCCAATGCCCATTTTGTATATCATGCACAAAAGAATCAATGCTATCTACCGTATTCAATGTAATGTTTGTTTCTTCCTAAAAATAATTGTAGGCATCCAAAAGTTACAGTCTCTTCGATCAAAGATAATAAAATCAAACATTTCATTCAAGGAGGCCATGTTTTGTCTGCCTCACTGAATGAAATCGAATCAATGAAAATCGATTCAACGAGATTAAATATTCTACCTCAGATTCCTTTATAACTATCAACAACTGATAAAAGCTACATTAGGAAAAACTATGGATATTTAAATCAGTAGCACATCTATTTAATAATTACACCAATATCTTATGGCTAACAAGACAAAGAGCGAACGTAAAGTTTTCATTACTATGTTATGGAAAAAATTTATTCAGATAATACAAAATTACTCCAAAATTTCACTGAAAGAAAAACTCATACAAGACAAACCTGTAGAACTGCCAATGTACGCATTAAGTTATTCTCTTTTAAATATTGTTCCACAAGACGTACAACGCTAAATTACAGGAAATTCAACAATAACGAATTATTTTCGATTTTTTAAAAATATCCTATCCAATAAACTAATAATTTCCAAACTTATACTTTAAAAAAATATCAGTTCTGTCTAAAGAAAAATGATAATGTTCCCTTAAACAATAAGTGTTAGCAAATGATGATGATGGACATGATATCCATCTTGGGATCGCTTAGAGAAAAAGAAACTCGAAACATGAATAAAATTTATCATAAACAGTAATTAAATTTAGAACATGGAAAAATATCAAAACTTACTCCGAAGCTTCTATTTCAATTGATGTCATATTTATCTGCAAATAAGTAAAAGCTAGTTATTTCAAAATAAGAATAAAAATTTCACAACAATTCCATTTTCGCAAACAATTCCTACCACTAAACGGTTCCATGGATTCCTGAGAACTTCATGCTTCTTTTATATGAAGTTTGCGGTCCAAATCGGGGACATGCCAGATATTATTCAGGAACTATCCGCTGATGTCAGTGCTCCTCTTTAATATAATTATCTGGCAGACCATGGAGAAAATTTGCAATGCTAAGGTGTAAATGGAAAATTGTATCGCTTATTATTCCAATGTCCAGTGCTGTGCTTCGTACGAGAGAGATAATTTTCATAAGATAGATGACAAAAGATTCTTCGACATTTCGGTTTCTTGACCGATTTTTTAATGTCAATTTTTATCATAAAATCATATATGGTGATGAAATGAATAGTTTTACTTTTTAATCAAAAATAACCGTTCAGCAAATCAAAAAATAACAGTAAAGATAATAAGTTAACAATCCCAAATAAATAACAGAGACAATCAATCATAAGCTGACTGCATTAGTTGGTTTGTTTGATTTAACCCATAGCCGAACGTAACTAATGATATAAACTCTTGCATGCTTCAACAATATTCTATGGAATGGACAGAAGATATCCCGCACTCGCACAAATATCCGGCACTGCAGTAACATCTTTAAAGAATTTAAAAACCAAAAAGAAAGAAAGTAGGCATGAAAGAAAGTTTGAATAGAAGAAATAAATAAATGCAAGCCTAAAAATTATTCATGCAGTTGTCCTAAAAAAATTTATACTATAATTCACTACGAAACCACTCGAAAATATTTATTATTTTCGATAAAAGTAAAATCGATATATTATTAGCCGAGGAAGATCAATGAATCAAAATTTTTAATATGGATAGATCCAAATCGGAAATAATAATACTTTTGATTCTTTGCTAATTTTTTCCATAAAAAACCAATTTCATTCTGAAATATTCCCAAGATGTATTAAGAAACAATACATACATATAGTGCACCAACAATAAATGACATTTATCATTTCAATACAAATGGAATTTGAAAAATTATAATGTATTGGAAAAAGGTGCAGCATTAAGAACTTTGCTAATTAACCAACCGATAAAACAAATGAAAAACCATAGTAACGGTATAAATTTCAAATAAATAAACGAAGAAATATGAGCCTCTTCCAAAATTGAGAATTAAATACAATCGCGTAAATTAAGGCGACGCAAAAATGGAAAATCGTTAGAAAAATATGACTGTTGTTGCAAAGATGTGACATTTAATTCTTCTAAAAACTCTCGTCCATTTTTCACTTATATACTTATACTAATTAAAAAAATCGACACATACTAATATCTTTTTCAACATTAAAAAATAGGTATCATAATTTAGTATTCCCAATGCAACAGGACATTTGTTATTCATTTCTTTCAAGATCCAGTTCATATTACTCATCAATCGGCCAAAATTATTATTGAGAATACGTTGTTGGCACTAAATACATAAAATTAAAATTAAGTAGTCCTTTTTCTCATTAATAAATTCAATCATTAATAAATTAGCGAAATTTAAAGTCCCTTTTCTTACATTGTTGAGTCAATAATTGGTGATCAACGAGAACCACAAACTGTCTTATCACTGGCGTGATTGTTTTTTTTTTTATACATCTACAGTAGTAGCCGACAAACCTCTTATCCAATTATAAGTTCTAGCACTTGCAATAGTTACTAATTATTCGATATAAATGACAATGGTCAGTAGAAAAATGAACCAAAGCAAACTAATTAAATAAGTTGCAGCTAATTAATATGCAAATCGGAAACTATGCAAACTTCACATCATACCTTGTGGTGGTAAACCGAATTGACTATTTCCAGCCATCTGGAAAGCTGATAATGTCGGGGTCCCCCCGGAATAAGTGCTCATATGCTGCTGTTGCCCAAATGGTGGCGTAGATGACGTCGGTAAACCAAAAGATATTGTGATTGGTGGGGGCGCTAGATTTGTAATACCCATAGTACTTAATGGGGGCATTGGGAAAGTTAAACCCGAAAACTGCGCAGAACTTGTAAATGGAGCCGGAGGAGATGGGGATATTTGTGGAGGTAACGGTGGGATTCCGCATGTTCCCTGTTGTTGCTGTTGGCGCGGTAAATTTGAAAACATCTGAGGCACTATACCCGTTATCGTTGAGTGGGGAGACGAAGACGGATCTGAAAAGAAGCATTTCGTAGATTTTGTAACCTCTGAAAACCAAGATTTTTGCTATCCTATAAAATTAAACTGATTTTTGAACGCTCTAATATTTCAAGCCTTTCAAGACGAAATCCTTCAACCCATACAGGTGGTAAAACTGAAATTAAGAAAAATGGATGCTCACGGTTATAAACAGGAGGCTGTGATGGATATTGTGGATCATGCATATAATGCTGCTGCTGTGACGGATAATACGACTGTTGATACACGGATGACGGTGTTTTATCATACTGCTAAAAATTCTCTTTTTTTCCTCTTCCTCCTCTTTAAAAAAGTTTTGATAAAAAACTCCATAACATGTCAAAAAGCTCCATAAAATCAATTTCGAATTCGATTTTAATAATATGTATCTTGGATATTATTAATAATTTTAATAATATCCAAAATAAATATCAAACCAACATTCACTAACCTACTTGGTAATTACTTCCTCGATTAAATTTAACAAAGTAATTTCTTACTTTAATGTGATATTTATTTCGCCACATGGCTTAAGTCTGCAAGAGATCAAACTTGGAAATTCAAGTTAAAGAAACGTAAAAACAACCCCAGTATTCATTGAATCTCCAATGAAATTTTGCCGTTGCTGCTGAACTTCTTGACTTGCACTTGCATAATTTATACCACTACTTTGAGCAGAGAAGGGTTGTTCAGTTATTCCAGAAGACGTCGATAACTCAAGGGTCGGAAATGCGGTTGAATGCGGTGCTATCACGCTCATTTTTGTACTACTGGTGGTTAATGATTGTTCCTGCAACCAATGTAATAGAAAATAACAAATCGTGACTAAAATTTCTTTCAGCCGTACAAACAATGATTTGCCGATTTAACGATACTGCTTTCTACCCAAACAGTCTCTTTTGAGTACCAAAAACTAAAATTCATTTTGCAGGACAGAAACAATTCCAGAAAACTTCAAGAACAGAAATATTTTCTTTAACCAAAATTTTCTAATGACATGAACACCACCATGATGGACTGCGTAGGTGCTGAAAATCCCGCAGAACACACTTCGTTTGAATAAGATCCACCTATTCCAGCCACGCTAGCTATCGTTGAATCAGACGCTGATGGCTAAAGATATCAAATTTAAATGCAGAAATTCGAAATAAAATGTAAAATTAGAGAGCTGCGTCACTAAGAACATACAGCAGAAAGTGCGATATAATTTAGAAAAAAAGCCTAACCTGTCTCAGAATAGGTGGCATGAATGAATTTGGATCAGGGAATTTTGTAATAGGTTGTATTGTATCAATTTGCGGAATGCCTGTGCTGCCTAAAAATGAATTATGGACATAACACTTGTATGGATAACTTTTATAGATATAATATTTATAGAGATGGGACTATGAAGAGAACAATAATCGCATTGTGGTATGATTTGCAAATTTTATATTATATCATGTCGAATATTGAATTTATCTGCGCAAACACGACAGCTTCATTACAAATGATTAATGTCTACTTAATATCAGCTACTATCAACTCCCCCTCGTATATAAAATTTTAACTATCGCAATCTAACGTCCTCCACTCAAAAACCTACAAAAATTGTTCAAATACTATAATATACCTGGCTGAGGGATATTGATAGCGTTATTGGAGGTAGCAGAAGGTCCTAAATGGATTGGATTATCAGCATTCATTAGTGGCGCAGCATCCGACGAATCCGTACCATTTAACTGTTGTTTAAGCATCGCAGCAATTTCTTCGCCCTTCAGTGGACCTCGTCGATCGCCCGGTATGCGATGCAGATAACCATAACCAATATCACATCCCAAGCATCCTTCACCACCCCAAGCCGAATTGGGCGTAAGCGAGACCTGAAAAAACCAAACATACGTGCAATCATTTAAAATCTTGAGAAGCCGGCATTTTTATGTTCCCTGAGTATCATTTTTATGGTCCCCATGGTATGGCACTTTTGGCAAAAAATGATGTCCTATCATTGAACTTAATTTTTTAAAATGCATCTTTTCCTTGCTGTTGTATATTTTACGGTAAATACTATAATTGAAAGATGCTGAATGAATAAAAACATCTCTATCATTTGTTTCATTATTTTAAGACAATAAGCACGTACCTCTCGTACAGAATCACTCTCCGTATTATAGACGTATAATTTTATAGGTTTTCCCTCGTTAGCTTGTAAATGAGCAATAAGATCATCGGCCTGAAAATAACATACAAGCTTGATGAACACTTAAAGAATCGAAACGCTTGGGTATTTGTCGTTTAATTTTTGTCTGAATAAAGCATTTCATGACCAATTCATCTTTTTTAAGCCAGTTCTGTTTTTTTCACGTAGGTTGGAAAGTTCTATGCAGCACATATAAATAGTTGATGAGAATCCATGCCTCATCTATTGTTATCTCTTTTCCCTGCTATCATTTCTTCCCTTTTCTTTGAAAAGATAATTCTTAAAGAGAAAAATCAGGAACCCTAAGAAGGATTATTCGTTTTCATCAGATTCCAATTTTTTTTTCATCAGATAATAAATAAGACTTCATATTAGTCATTTAAGAAAACATCTAAAAATATACCCGTTAAACTCATTCATACCGTTTATTTTTAGAACTACAGATCAATAATAAGTTATTGTACCTAAAACTTACTGATAAATACTTTTGTTGAAGAACTAATCAATTATTTATCAAAATAAAAATGGTTTTAACATCCATAAATTCATAAACCTGATTCAGGACAGACTCTGCTCCAAGTATATAGTCCAAATTAGATTGTAAGCCAGCAATTTCTGCCGGTGAATTGGGCTGGACTTGCACAACATGCCAAACATTTTCGCGCGCTCCTTCAAACGAGCAGAACCGAATTGAAATGCCGAGTAATCCTTGCCCACCCCACATTTGTGATGGTGTAATTTGTGTCTGTCGAACTGTTTGAGTTTTGCTGGAAATATGAAGTAATTACAGGATACAAGTCTATAGAACTGCTCGTTTCATTAACGAAAAGATAGACGTTAAATGTAAGTACCCGAAGAAGGAATATAATCATCTATTCTGATGTCAAGAAGACAATACAAAATATGAAGACTTCGCAAAGAAAGTAGTATAGTTCCGCAAACGTTAGCATTTCAACGATACCAATCAGTACACTAATAAACAGCTAATCATTTGTATGTTAACAAAATATTTTAAAGGAAGAATAAATAACTTACCTATTATAAACAGTCAGTTCTAACGATCGCTCCACATGCTGCTTTAAGATGTCCTTTAAAGTGTCATTATCTGAATCCTGAAATTAAGACTAAATTATTTGAAGGATTCTCTCTCCCATCCAACTACAATAATCTTCTAAATTTTGTCGTCAGTAATTGCCAAATATTGGGAGTCTGAAGATTAAATTTTTAACTTCTACATATGGATGAAATACTGGGTGTCATAATGCTACACTAAGGGCTAGTTGTTGAAGATATAAGCTGTCTTCAGTAATGTTCACTATTTATTTTTTTCTTCCATGCTCAAAACGTTTCAATAAGTGACGGAACTGAATCAACAAACACGGCAACATCGAGTTTGACATGTTGCCACATGGACATGGGAAACGCTGGGATGAGTTGAACTATAAAGATAAACAACTGTTCATGAAATTTCAAACATTAACGCTAAGATGATATTATTCTGTTGTCGCTTACGCAAATTTCTCTCCTCTTGAGCGTGACAGCTAAGTTAGGAAACAGTTTGATAGATACAGTCCTGCATTATTTGACGCGCAGCATTTTGACGACATAATCAGTATATTACAATATATTAGCAATACAAAAAAAAACTAAAGTGAACAATTACCAGCCGTGTGTTCCCAATACAAACAATAAAATCGAAAAATGGCTCTAGTCCAGCAGCTTGTCCAGGTGAATTGTCTTGCACCTAAATGTTTTTAACACGTATTTAAAAGCTAATGTGATCGATAAAACTCAATGTAGGGGACAAAAAGAAAACAATCATGGATGAAGAAGAGTAAGGCAATAATTTAAAGGGTCAGTTTATTTCCACCAGAAAACTGCACGGTTCGAAATCTCGGTATTTTCCGAAAATCAGCAGAGTCCCATATCAATTTTCCTCCTCTGGCTTATGATCTTTTGATGCTTAATTTCCTATTTTCAAGGAAATACCATTGTTCTTCTGCCACCAAATAAACGCCGTTAGAAATGCTATGAGTTATGATTTCCGCGATTAAAGTTTTTCCATAATCAGGAGAAACTTGGTATGGCAAAGTGAGCAAAAAATTGATTAGTCAAAGAAACTAATTCTAATGCTCTGTGGACTTATTTCCTTTTGTTTTTGTGAATTGATTAGTGAAAAGTGTGAATTGATTAGTCAAAGAAACTAATTCTAATGCTCTGTGGACTTATTTCCTTTTGTTTTATGTCTTTTCTAACATGAAAATACCGCATAGCGGGAAAGAAAGAAATCTTTCAGATATTTTCTAACAAGCAGTGATAGTGTTGAAATTCCAACTAAAATTTCGATGTAGATAGAAGCATGAAGAAAGCAATTCAATTATGAATTTTCATAAGATATCAAGATGGGATGATTAATTCTGACAAGGCATCAACCCATAATTCATACCATTTGATAAAAAAATGATTTCCGAGGTATAAAATTTAAAAAAAAACGGAAACACAAACTGACTCGCAATACATGATACCCTTCGCTACCACCACCAGGAATATTTGTACTGCCAGAATTTCCCATTGAAATTGCTGCAAAAAACTCGCAATAATTAATTAGCTATTATTTAGAATTAAAATACACCCTACAAGTGTTAGCAGCTTAAAACTAGCTTTTTCTCTCTTTACATTCCGAGATAAAGTGATTAAACTTGAAAATTCTTCTCGATACAATACCATTCTGAGAGAACTTTTTAACCAATTCTGAGAGCACTTTTCAACCATTCTCCAAAAGCATTTACAGGTAGGCAAAAATGGAGCGTGTCGAATATTTAGATATATCTGGACTTCGACATCAACTTAATATTTAGTTTAATCGAGAAACTTTGACCGAGACTTTGGCAGTGGCGTTCAAACCTCGCCTAGATCCGAGGTACGCCACTGCCAAGCAGCTTGAGAACAGCCTATACACAAGGTTATCCCATTCCGTCCTAATATTGCGCTGCTAAAATTCTCAACAGTAATTTCGGCGACTTGCCAAAATGTTTTCTGAAATAAGGCGGCATATGATGGCCCTTTCCAGATTTCTGGATTTTGGTTCGTCTAGTTATATACTTACAGAGGGCTTTTGATTCGTCGAGTTATGTACTTATACATTACTTTGTTCTCTTTTTCGATATAAAATATATGATAGCTCTATCTGCTGCTGTTTTATTTTGATTTCAAACATTTCGATTTTCGTGTGAGTGGATTTATCCGGAAATTTCATTGATTTTATGTGATTGCTAATTTTGCTGTACAACATCTTAGTTTCTTTACGTTAAGAAAAAAAAAGAAATATCGTAGCAGGCAATATTTCTTTTTTCGAAGTTACCCGAAAAGAAATCGGATGCCTTTGTGAGAATGCACACTTCAGTTTCTTGCAACGTTATCATGCAAAAGTAGCACTAATACTTTTTGTTTTTATGTGACATACTTGTTAGAAAAATTGACTAGCGTTCATGTCACCGATATCATGTTATCGAAATATTGCGCTGAATCTATATTGTTTTATCTTTCATCAAATTTAGCAGTAAAGCACTACGTTACCACTAAATGCTGCTTCTCTTCGCAGCATACACGTGCCAAGGTGCGTGTAGATTGCGAAAAGAGCATATTTATCCATAATAATAACTAATTAAAACTTTAGAATGGAATTGCTTCAAACTTACCGGGCCAGCAGTGATAGTGCTTCATCAGATACGGATGATGATAGCGAGTTGAAACATCATAAACTTGTAACTTTAAAGAATTGCCGATCAGTTGTTCTTGCTGGTGAACTTGCACCAATTGTTGGTACAAAAATGGATGTCGGTGGTATACGGTGCATCGATCCACAAACTAAAGAGCTCAGTTATAATCCGAAATACGAAGAACTTTTCCAACCTGTGGTATGGATTCTTGTTTAGGATTCATTAAAAGAAACCAAAATTAATTGTCATCTAAAATTCAGTTTGGTAACTGGATTAATAGTAACTCAAATTCGAAAATGAAGTAAAATTGGTCATCGATTTATTTATACTGATAACACTGCAAACTTTCTCAATATACAGTGTACTTTTTAATTTTTTGAAGAAGGAATAGGAACTAGCTTATTATTTAAAATTCAAGTGGAGATTTTTTTGGTTTGAAGTATTTTTCGAGATAGTGAAATGAAGAAATGAAAATAAATGAAATATATTGTTCAGTCATTATTTTGTTTGGGATTTTTTTTATATTTAGGTTGCATTTTTACCGTCCTGAATACATCAGTAATAAAGTGGTTGTTGAGACTATTAGTCTCAAATGCTTGTGGCTTGGTAATAACCGTTATCAATTTCAATTTTTAAGGTGTTATTTTTGCGTTTTACTATTTTTCTCATTTCTCTCTGTTTCCAGGTTGGACCATCAAATCCTTTCAAGTCAGCCAATCAGACAGCGCCAAAAAATATGTTAACCGGTTTCGTGGAGTCGGCACATGTAAATAATTTCCAATTTGAACAACAAATCAGATCTTTCGATACGTTAGGATTTGCTCTTGATCCATCCGCTGACCAATCTGCTCAGTTTATCGGTGATACAAAGAAGGTACTGTGAAATTTTCAAATATTTATAACAGATGGAGATTTAAGATGTAATAGATTTATAATTTTTATATGCCTTTCTCATTAGTATCATTTACGAGTTCTCTGTTTTAGGCTCAGGAAACCCATGGTGCAAGTCTTTTCGAAGGAAAGAAAACAGGTGGAGAGAAACGAAGGAGGAAACGAAATATGGACTCGAGCGATGTGGAAGGATATACTGGTATTGGGCTGTTACATTTTTGTTAATTGTCTATTAGTTATTTGAAATTGTTCTACTTTTAATCCAATGAAGTAGTTAGTTTCTTATCGGTTTTAAAATTTTCTGCATATCTCATTCTCTGTCGAGACAAAATAAATCCTAGGACCTTGGGCAAGATTTGAGGACGAAGTGGAAATATCGAGGCCGGATTCGGAATTAGCAAAGGAGTTAGAAGAAATCGTGAAAAAACGTCAAAAAAATAGTCGAGCAGGTCGCAAAGCAGCACAGCAACAAGAAACTATCGCGGATGAATCTTCTACATTGCATCGTATGTTTTCTTTTGTTATGGAGGTAGTGTATTAGGAAGTTATTTTATATTTAAAAGTACATCTGTAAAATAGTGCAGTTTGAAAGGACAACAGTCCAGCCTTTTTATTCTCCATTATACCTATCAATTAAATTATATTTGGAGAAATTCATCATTGGAGTTTGAAATCAATTTAGAAGCTTTGTTTCAAACTGTTTGTTTCAGTCAAAGAAGCAGAGGATTATTTGGGACGTTCATTTATGCATGCACCACAGTATATTGGTGTCAATTTACGTGAGGATCATGTACCGGAGCGTTGTTTCATACCTAAAAAACATATTCACACTTATCGCGGGCACAACAAAGGCATCAACTGTTTACGGTGGTTCCCGAAGAGTGCACATTTGTTTCTCAGTTCTGCTATGGACAGCAAAGTTTGTAAAATAATGCTTATCTTCACTTTAGTTCTGCTGCACCCTTCTCTTAGATCCTTCCTGTGCTTTTTGATGTGGATATGCATATCAGTTTACGACTGACGTGTTTTCATCGTATCACATTTCCTGTGTTTCGGGTTGTAGCAGCTTTCGTCTGAAATGTTTATACTGAAGCTTTTTATACTTATTATTGAAGTAACAATACAGTTTTTTCAAAAGCAAAAATGCCGGGAAAATATTAGGATATCGAAGTTTTTTTTTTTTTTTTTTAAATTATATGCTTTTAGATTAAACTATGGGAAGTGTATGGAAAGCGAAGCGTGGTAAGGACATATGCAGGACACAAAATGTCGGTTAAAGACGTTACGTTTAACAATGACGGTACCGAGTTCCTTTCAGCATCTTTCGATAGATACATAAAATTATGGGATACTGAAACAGGTTTTTTTCATTGCTGTTTAACAATTTATTTCTGGAAATTTGTTTGGCTCAGAAATTTTGGTGTTATTTAGCCTTGTGATTTTTAAGTTTTTCCTAGATTCTTAATTGTGTAATTAATTGATTCAACAGGCCAAGTTAAACAGCGATTCCACACTGGTCACATACCGTTTTGTGTGAAATTTAATCCTGATGAAGACAAGCAAAACATGTTCTTATCAGGCATGCAAAATAAGAAAATCTTGCAATGGGATACTCGGACGGGTGAAATTGTTCAGGTAAATAATATTTTACCTGTTTTTTTTTTGCTTTATCCAGCTACTAAACCGCATGCTTTTAAATTATAAGTTCAACTATTAAATTCTATTTCAGGAGTATGATCGTCACTTAGGCATTGTCAATTCAATAACATTTTTTGATAAAAATCGAAGATTCTGCTCAACTTCTGATGATAAATCAATTCGAATATGGGAATGGTTAGTATTATCAATAGCCGGTTGTACCAAATTATTAGCAGTTTCTTGTTTAGAGCCGTGATCAGATTAGGTATTTGTACCGATGCTAGAACTTCTCAGAAGCAGAGGTTTTTGTCATTCTTCATTCGAGGAAATGTAATTGTCGGTAATCTTTGAATCAAGAGAAAAGATTTTTCAAATACTAAACTGAAATTTCTATTCCATCTTTTCCATCTTTTATTAAAACAGTTGATAAGTCAATAATTTCTATGAATTATGACTTATCAATACGCATTAGTACGTTAAAAATTTATTTTTCTAGGGAAATTCCTGTGGATACAAAACTTATTCAAAATGCCGGTCTACACTCGATTCCAACGATGACGAAGTCTCCAACAGGTCACCAAATCTTTCCGAAAAATCTGATTTTAATGATGGAATTGCTTCATTATAGTTTAAAGGAAAATATTCAGTGATTTAAAATGATTATCTTTTAAACTCATTCCAGAAAAATGGGTAGTCGGTCAGTCGATGGATAATCGTATCGTATTATTCCAACTAATTGATGACAAGTTACGATTTGCCAAGAAGAAAGCGTTCAAAGGACATAATGTTGCTGGTTATGCTTGTTCAGTGGATTTCGCACCAGATATGAGGTTCCGAGAATTTATTACCTAGTCATTTCGCTTGTCGTCTGATTTGAGATATTCTAATCAAAATGTGATCTAAAATGGATGACATGCTGGGTTTTACGGGAATGTAAACATTTTTCCTAAAATCCTGAAAATCCGTTGTGATTTTCAAAATGTTCCAATGCAGAACATCCATAAGCTTTATTCTCTTTAGAAACAGTATTTGAATCATAAATTACACTTTCTTATTCTTCCATCTTTATTTTCCGGATTCAGCATGCTTTTGAAACTCTGAATCTCAAATGCAAAATTTGCACCCCACAAAACCAGATTTTCTAGATTCTCAGCCTCGGCTTATTAATTAATCTTTATTGATTATATACAAAACTTTGCAACTTTGAAAGTTTAAACTTTTTCACTGGAATAAGTCAAGTTGAAATATTATTTTCAGCTTTCTAACATCGGGTGACGCGGATGGCAAAGTATTTATTTGGGATTGGCGTAATCATAAAATAGTGGCGCGGTGGAGAGCACACGATGATTGCGTGATCTCAACATTATGGCATCCACATGAAACTTCCAGAATGATAACCGGAAGTTGGGATAATGTGATTAAAATGTGGTCTTGAATGCACTTTTTATTTTTGTGGGGTACGAAAAATTTTGGGAGATTTTAAGGATTTTCAGATTTTATAATATTCATAATACTGTTTATAGACAATTTTAATTTCATTAATAATATTTCTGACAGAACCAGAAAGTTGTAATCCTCAGATTCGATTCGGAAATATATTGTTTGTGCATTTGTTAATGTTTATTTTTCTTAATTATACATCTACTTCAATATTTACTTTAATTTGCTATTGTTGTCAACGAAAGTTAAAAGTGCGGTATTATTACTTGAAGGAAATTTAATGTTCACCGTATTAAATGAAAAATATTAATTGGTTGTCATAATTTTACCTCTTTCTTTTCCAAAATATACATTTGTTTTCATGTTGTCTTCATATCATGTTTCTTCAATTGTTTACTGGATTCATGTGTATGTTGAATGAAGCTTTAGAAGATGAATTTCTTTAAACCAAATAAAATAGTATTTATTAATCCGATATATATATATATGTCAGAAATAACACATTTTCAAAGTTTCATCTAAGAAATATCATCTTGAAGCAGGATGGATCTCAATTGTTGGATTAGAAGAGGTCTTGTGAGGGAGTCTCATTATTTGGTCATATGGTCACGATAGGTTCTATAGGTTTGAACTTATCAGTATCTACTCGGCTGGATTTGGTGATACATTTAGTGCTACATATTTTTTGCGAGCTGCGTTGCTTGCTTATTTTCAGATGCATAATAAAAAGCAGATTCTGTGAAGTTGAGGCAAAAAATTGTAGAGTCTAATTTTCTATCTATAGCAGAAAATACAATATTGATTCGTTCGACTGAATACAATATTTTGCTTGAACACAGTTTTAGATGCGCTGCATGCGTATATTACATCCACCAAATGTTGGGTCCATATGCATCACCTATCACGGTTATCGAGTTAGGTATCTACTTGATTTCAACAAAAAAGAACCGCAATTGAGGACAGTGCCAACGAAGTGGAAAGGTCGAGTGCAATGGTGGAAAGAACCGTAAGTCGTATGAGTTATTAGTTGTTGTATTATCAGTACCTAGATTGTGCCTGCAAATGACTGATTTTATTTTCTAGTATCGTTGTGCACTGGCATATAATTGTTTTGTTATTTAAGTTTACTTTCACTTACCATGAGTGATTCTTTTTTTCAGTATCTACGTCTCACCACATGTGAATGTTTTACAGAGAGGAGTCGATTTCACTTTTCAAGGTTATTACTGTAGAACATTTATGTATCAATAGGATTGCTAGATGTATAATGCTGCATGTACGGAGCAAATTGACATGGAATTTTAACTTATGTTTGTTTGTAGCAAAGAGATGGATTTTCTTGGAAAATTGAAAAGTTTTCCAGTCCTAAATTCGAAATAAGAATAGGATGAATAAGCATACAACCACATAATCATGAGTAAGCACAAAATATTAAATTGTATTTTAGACGGTCGACCTGTCTATGTAACATCTCTAGATGAGGTGCGGAGGAAAAAGGAACAAATCGAATTAGGGGTAAGTGTTATTTTTTGTTTTGCTATAAATTTTGTTTTCTGACAGGAAGTATACACGTTCTCAACGTATACCTAGAATATTTCAGAAACAAATTGTTAAACTTCTTGGTGAAGTGCGCGATGCCGAAGAAATGTACAAGCAAAGGTTGGAAGTTGAAAAACAAGAAAATGAAAGAAGACTTGCAATAGCACCAATGCCAAAAGGTACACAAGAAATATCATAAAAATCGAATGTATGTTGAACATTTGTACGAAACGTGTTATTTGCGTAGAATATGTTTACTATTTGTGATACGTGATTTTATTTAAAGAATAGAATGTGCTAACTGTTCAAGCATATATTTTTTTACACATGAATTTGATTGTTTTCGTTCATTGGTTGAGAAAATTTTAGAACTACATCTCTTTTTTCGACATCTTTTAATTAGATCTGTACATAAATGCTTGCACATATAACTGAACAATATTTTTTTTCCATGTATTTATGAATTTAACGGATACATCAAAAATGATATTCATGTTTCATCGAAATGGCATATTTGTTGGTATCTTTCAACAAATGGATTTATTTTTCGTGCACAAATAATATGATTGCTGACAGCAAAATCGAGTAATGCCCTAAAAGAAAGAGAAAAGTGTTAAGTGGTTGTTTTCTTGTGTTACACTTTAAATTATTGCTGGATTTTACTTCATCACATTAAAAGAAGGAACATTTTAATATATATGTTCTCTTTTTTTCAACTGTAAGAGAAGGATTTAATTATTTTTTTCATGTATGTTAATTTGACATATAGCATAGGAAACATCAGGATCGAAAGGTTGTTATTCGCACACGACAAATTGACAGGAAATATCAGATAGAAAGTAAATTGTGACGAAATTATATCACTAAGATAGTGCTTTCATTTAATTAACGATAGGATAGATAGGAGGGTAAATGTGTATTTGAGCACAATTTCCCCATTGCATTAAAAGTTTCATTTGAAAGGATTAAATAAGCAAAGCTATTGCCTCAAAATTTCCGGCCTATTATTATAAGGCTTATTATTATTAATATTTATGAGGTAATTTGAATGTAGTAGAAACCGAAGAATTATACGGATACAGTTGATTGTTCAGTGAGCATTTTTTTCTGAAGATGCGAACCTGAAAATATACAAATACTGTTCCTTAGTTTGTACCGATTGAGCTCGTTTTTGACGCATATAAGCAACCATGTCTGATACCACTAATTCATTGCCAGCTACTAGTTGCATCAGGCAAAGTTCAATTGCAACCAAAGTACCACTACGACCTATGCCAGCACTACAATGTACCACGGTACATGTTGGTGAAATGCGTGATTTTTTCAGCAAATAAAACGGTGTCTTGTAATCATTTATTGGTACCTGAAATAATTCAACCCGTATTAGGTATTTATAGTACTTAAAAGAAAAATACTTGAAACTTCGATACCTGTTTATCAACCCATGATATCCATTGATAATGCATTACGGTGAGATTTACATTTCCCCGACTAAGCAATAATTGCGTTATGATAATGTCACCATTTTTTGACTTATTACGTTCTCGTAATTCAATTCGTATTCCAGCATGTATAATTGCGCGAGTTTGAAGTCTAAATGACGAAGTTATTCCATCTTTTATTTACAACCATTTTATTTCTACTTTACTACTTCTAAGACTAAGACAGTGTGACTTTCAAAGTTATAAAAAGGTTGGACTAATACATCAGAATCTTAAAAGATATTTCCATATTTCATTATCTAATTAGCTTATTTATATCAATATTATGCAAAACAGAAAAGGATAAATTCAGTTGGGTAACGATGCAGAAATAATTACCTAATACTTGATAAAAACATGAAGACGGGTTCGAAATAGTTTAGATATACTAAAATTTATAGTTGATTTGATCATTCTCTGGAATTACTAGTTGATTTTAAATTTAAAATGATTCTTAAATTTTTGTTTCGAGAACTAACGTTGGTAAATATTCAGCACATTTTACTTTTTGCTCTTCAACATATTTACAAAGCATGAATATTAGTCCCGATCGTTCTTGCCAAATCATTTCCCAAAAATCATTTACTGTATTCGGTAACGGAGCCTGTTGATATTGGGAGAATATTAGTTGAAACTATCCGTAAATAATTTTACTTTTGATTGTAAATTTTTTTCAATAAGTAATAACAACTAAAAGTTAATAGGAATAAAGCAAAAAATAAATATGCGAATATAAATATAATAACCATTTCATCTTCTTCCTTAAGATTTCCAAAGATTACAAAAGGTAATTTAAGCAAGGTAATTTAAGGTAGAATGTAAATAAAATAGCCGTTTTATCTTCCTCCTTAAAATTTCCAAAAATTACAAAAGGTAATTTAAGCAAGGTAATTTAAGGTAATTTAAGCACCTTTCAAATAAAATTTTTCCCTCATTTAAATTTACTAAAGAATTGAAAATGATTGATACTTGTGTAAGAATGAAATCATTTTGAAGAACTTTATGGCGAACATAATTAGCATGTATATAATCTGCAACTCGGTGATGTAAAATAACTCTTGAACTATCCAAACAATATACATCTATAAAAATCGATTAATTCTTATTTATAAGGATGGATTGTTAATTTTTACAATTAAAATGAAAATTTCAAAATTTAAAATTTTAATTATTTTTATAATAATAAAAACAATAGTATACTCATAAATTAGTATATATATAGCTAATACTATATATATATATATACGCTGTATACTGTACTTGAATTCGGTGCATTACAGTAATAAATTTAAAGTCATCAAATATTCTAATAGATTGTAAATTATTGCAACTATAATGAAAATTTCTTAATTTATAATTTTAATTATTTTTATAATAATAAAAACAATCGTACATCCTTAAATTAGTATATACACGATCATTACTGCATACTGTATATTATATCTGAGTTCTGTATATTACAGTACTACATTTGGTTAACAAATATTCTAATATTTTTTTTATTAGAAAGTTTTTCATACATCTATAAATTTGTAAGATATTCAAACAGAGGTTAAGAGTCAAAGTTTATTAAATTATAAGAAGAAAAAAAAGAAAATTAACCATTATAGCGATTTTTATGATAATTAACAGGAAGCATTCCAATAAAAGCTTTTGCTTTAGACGGTTTTATTGACTGAATTTTTTCATACTGTGCAATTAGTGCTTCGATAGAAGTTCGATTACACTGAAAACTAAATTGCTTATACTAAGAATTATTTATTTCTCTATTTAACTATGTATTTATGATATTATATATTTCATTCTATTCATTTTATCTATTTATATTATATCATCTCTACATTCATTCAATTTTGTTTTCTATTTTAATTGAAACATTTACATATATTGATTTTGTAGTAACTTAATTGAATTATACTTAATTGAAAATTATACTTGAAATTTTTTTTTTTAGTAACTTAATTGAATTATACTGAAATAACTTAATTGTGTTAACTGAACTGAATTAACTTATTAACTGAATTGAATTAACTTAACTGAATTGGATTAACTTATTAACTGAATTGAATGAACTCATTAATTGAATTGAATTAACTTATTAACTGAATTGAATTAATTTAATCGAATTGAATTAACTTATTAACTGAATTGAATTAACTTATTAGCTGAATTGAATTAATTTATTAACTGAATTGAATTAACTTGAAATATTCAATGAAATTATTTGATACAAATGAAAATGCTTATCAATTAAAAGAAAGATAATTTACTTCATTGAAAATTTTGTAACTTTCTATTAGATGAAAACCTAATTTCATATTTATCCTTTAATTCTTTTGTTTTTAAACAAATATAATGAATGAATTTTTTCACATAGTTGACAAATTCTTTCACACGTTTTTGCATACGTGTTTCATAGAATTGCATATGCTCCTCTGCATCACTTATTTGTGATGTTTGAGAATCCTCTTGAGTTAAATGTACAGGTACTGATGGTCGTTCAACTTGGTCTACCTGCATTCGAATTAATTAGTTAAAATAAGAGCAGTGATAAAATATTTAATGTTATGATATTTAAAATTACGAGAAAATGAGAAAGACAAAAGAAAAAGAATATGTTTTTAATTTTACATTATTATATAAAACTTTGTAATTTTACAGTTTATATAAATGGAAAGTTTAGAATACTTGGCGTAATGTGCTTGATTGTGTCAAATTTATAACATATGATACTGGTGCACTGCTAATTTCTTTGTTTTTGTTAATTATTTGATCTAAAAATTGATTGTATCATCAAAGAAAGGAATGAAAACATTGTAATCAAAAAATTTTTTCAACAGTTAAATCCCGAGATATACTGATAAATGCTTTTTAAGGAATACATTACCCTGAACAGATCAATTCTTAATTAGTGATCGATCGACTACTTGAACTGACAATAATTTTGATTTACTTAATTTATTAATTAATAACAATTGCTATTACTTAATATATCAGTAACGTATTATCTCTTAAATATATTCATTCTAAGATTGATTTGATTATTTAGTGATTAAAAGAAATTATAAATATACTTTGAATTAAACCATTCTTTGATTGAGTTTGCTCTCTTCGCACTTTTATCATTTCTATAACAATCAGTGCAATATCTCTGATAAGTATGAAAGACTGATTATTCAATGATTATCATTTGAAATTTTTTAATAATTAAAATAGAACCATCCTAATGCTGTGCTTACCTGTATTTGTTCTTTATACCTGATTTCATTTTATATTTTGAATTTAATTTATTCGAGTGAAACATAGGAAATATATTTTGTAATCATATAATGCTAACATATATCAATGACATAAATTTTCATCTTACTAGTTTTCTTCTTTGAACTGCTACTGCTGAAAGAAATAATAAATTTGAATAATGGTATAATTTCTTGGAAGCTTGGAAGATTTAATTTTATAACTGTATTATAATTGGATATCTCCGACGTTAACAACATGTAATTAAATCTTTCATTGAGCTATTTAAAAAGCGAACTTACTTGGTTGCCATTGTTGCAGATGTCGTTGGTGTTTCATTCGATGACATTATCCAGTTGATGAATTCTACCTCTAAAAAAATTTGATTAAATTTTAAATTTTAACCAAAAATTTTTAACCTATTGCTCGATAA